GAGTCCGCCGCCGGAGAGTTTTATACATACCATATATATATATTATGTGTGTGTGTGTGTGTGTGTTTGTGTGTGTGTGTGTGTGTGTGTGTGTGTGTCGTGTGTGTGTGTGTGTGCGCGAGTATATGTATAAAGTGACACCCGGTTAATAATAAGGACGAGACTTTGACGATTGAAGAACATTTTGGAAAGCCATTAATACTTTTCTGTACACTTGGGTTTGCGTTCGACAACTTACTTTTTCAGTGTGTGGTGTGTTAAATGTCTTTTCTACGTGGCAGAATCCAACCGACATTTGACGTATATAGCTGCTGCAAAGGGGGAAATTAGCTAGGTACCTACCTAGGCTACCTGTATTATACCACACAGAATTATATTATAGATCAGTGGTTCTTAAACTGCGGTACGTGGAAGGCAGTGTAGAAGAAATCCTGATAATTAATATATAAATAATTTTACCAATGTTTGTAACGGATATAATATCTTTCTTAAGTAAATAAATATTTAAAGAGTCAAATGTACTTAAATGATTATTTTCTTACGTTACATTGTTATAAATGTGTTGAAATTCTGAATAGTTTTATATTTATTCATAATAGTGGTTTACGACTAACACGTATTATGAGTGGTACACGAAAATAAAAGTTCTAGAATCTCTGTTATAGATCATCTGACGTATGACAGGCAAAAATGAATCCTTAATTTATACTACTGATGTGCCCCCGCAGCACATACTATATCGAACTCGTCAGCTTAATATTATATTATTACATCTATCGATCTACAAACTAATCTCAATAACTAAATACCTGTGTGGAATTGTGGTTAGGTCTCGAGTATATCCGTTATAGACGCGGCTATCACACATTGAACCTTCGGGGGGCTAAGCACGTTTCTAAAGTTTACAATTTCACCGAGACACGTGTATATTACCCCAGTTAGTCTACTATTTTTAATCGAATTCGTTGTCACGTCACGCTTTTCTCACAACCACGTAATTTAAGATTCTCGGTATTGTACAACGCGTATTACCTCTGTATACCTAACCGATTTGTCGTCGAATTAATTGGATGTATAATAACAAAATAATTAAAATGTTCAGTCGTCGGGGTCACCACGTGTCCACGTGGTAGATTTTTCACAGAGATTGAAGTATTGAATAGTATATATATATATACACGTATACCATAGGAAAGTACGCAGAAGGGTGTTTCACGTGTCCAAACAGTCCCTGAAACATTCTCTGACCCTTTTTTTAGCTACGTATAATGTTAATAGTTGGTGGTATACCGGTAGTATTTAAAATTATAAATATAGAATTTTTAAAACACCCACATTTGAGAGCGTCCCTTATATAGTTAAATATGCACAAAGCACAAACAGTACAATACTGCGATGTATCGTAGGGTACAATATGCCAAGAACTCACCGAGCCCTATATGATACATTAATCAGCCACTGTTCGAGCTTATTGCGACACTAGATAAGTGTAATGATGAACATCATATAATATAATATATTACTATCGTAAATTAGATAGTACTAGCTGACCCTGCACGGAGTTTCTTGTGTATTTATACCTTTTTAAACTTAGTTAAATGTAAACTTCACAGGTTCTTAACACGGTAATTTGAGCGGTTTTGACCGAATATAAAATACAGGTCTAAGATCATGTACAATCATAATAAATATTTATATTATGTAACCTGCAGTGACAACCCTATACAAACAAACAAACAGTGTATTTATTTTTCGGGAGCCAAAAAATCCTTGCGCGAGCCCCTTTATGAAATTAAAAAATTAAATAATCGATATGCCATCGATATGCTCATCTTCGGGTATAGGATTACCTATGTACCACATTTCAGAACCATGGGAATGAGATACACTAGGCTATAATGGATCGCTTACACACACAGACACAGACATTGCCTTTTATTGATTTAGATATGTACCTCTAATCTCTATACATTATTATATGATATTACATACATATAATAATCGCCATAAGCCTCGCTTATATGACTCAATGCTCGTGGTGCAGAAAAAGTCGCGCTTAACCCTCGTCGGTCGCTACATAATACACATACATACGAGCGTACGTCGTATAATATAGGCCGGCATATGCGCGATGAAAAACGTTCCATATGTTGTGCGGAAAAGGTTGATTAACGCGGCCCCCGTCGAGCGCGCACAAATATAATATTATAACGACGACATCGACATCGACAACGACGACGACGACGTCGACAACGAGTGGTAAGGGTCCTACGCCACTCGTGATTCGTACACAAAAGGATCGCTAGTGATTGTGTGTGTGTGTTAGTAATACATTATGCATTTGTGTGTGTGTGTGTGTGTGTGTGTGTGTGTGTGTGTGTGTGTGTGTGTGTGTGTGCGAGCACACCGCATCTGCCACGCGAGACTATTGGCCACAACACATGTTAGCTGCCCGCGACGCGTAGCTCGTTAAACGTTCTGGTCGACTATATCGAGCGGGCGTGCTAAATATAAAAAATTAAAATATGTACGGAAGAGAGGCGGTGGTGTCGTCCGGGCGGATCGCGATCGATTCAGCGGCTTGGATCCCATCGATATTGTTATTCGTATACGGAAATATAATACTATAATATAATGTGCACGCGGTCGCCGGCCGAATGAGCGTTTTAATCCGCCGTGGCTGAGGAGAACCAGATGTTCGTGGCGCACGAACCGTCCAACGCGAATTGACTCCCGATGGTTTGCAAACCGCCTACGTCCCGACACCGCAACCACTATATACGTATTGCCCCTCCCCTACCCCCCTCTCACACACGACCCCAAACACTACTATTCCGGCGAATACGATTAGGAGATTTATTTTTGGTAAATTATTAAGCAAATTCTTTACGACTGATATTATTACCGTCATGTTGGGTGGAGGCGTGTACTTAAGTACGAGTTATACCTGCAGCGGATAAATTACCACAAGAGCATTTAAATTTTAAATCAAAATTATATCACATCATATGAATAATTATTAGTTGTATATGTATGTATTTTTAGGTAAATAACTAAATAAGACGTGCACGAGAACGAGAATCTGACCAAATGTCTATGTAGGTAATTATAATTTAGATATATATTTTTTAATATCTTACATACTTGATAGGCGGTAGCCATGTAGGTATTGCTTATCACTTATCAGAGATACAATTGTTTAGCATTATAATCATTGTACAATTATAATCTAGCACATACATAATGTTTTATAGCGGTATTATAGATAATACCTTGTACGTGTATAGTAAGTTTTATTAGATATGTACATAAAACAATTATGTGCAAATTTAAGTACTTATTAATTTAACATTTGTCACACTTATTTCAGGTACATTTACTGATAATTTGGTTATAAATACTGTATTAGAGATACCTACTTATCATATTTTAATGCAAATGTTTAGAACTTGTACAGTAGTTGTACGTGATATCATTTTTATAGAAAAGTATACTGTTTGACCACTTTATTAAGAGTCTAAAATATATAAACAATACATTTTCTTGGTTTTATAAGTAAAATATTTTCTTCCCGTTACTATGTAGTGTTAATTAAAATTCACCTAATAACTATATTTCACTGAATCATGTATACGAACGTTCTATCAATAAGTTATGTCAAAATAGCACATACGACGATTGTATTTGTAAACGAATTACAACTACAAATGTTCTAATCAAAGTTTTTGTCATTCCAAACGAACTAAAAACCATTTAGTTCGGGGCCTCTTTTTTTAAACATACTCTAACAAAATACGAATGACTATTAAATTGACCTGCCAGCTAGGATTGCCCGAGGGGTGAGACGACCCCTCGTTACAACAACCAACCAACCACCCCTTATAAAGGGCCACCTGTTCTCTGCAAGTGCGATTCATTATGTCCCTTCGTATACCCTCTTGTGTGACACTCGTTTATCGAAGTGTTACAAACCTATGGAAGAAGTAGCAGAATAAAAAAATAAAAAAAAACCCTGTTACATTGAAATGTGATTATTTGACCGTGTCTGTATATCCTATTGACAATTCAAAATATACAGCTTATTATTATAGCTCTGTATAATTTTCGAGTTATTTGTAGATGACATACTGGTTTTTTTAAAAATATTTTATGACCTACTTTGTTTTTACAAACAGAATACAAACGAATTTTAAAAGGTTTACATTCAATGGTTGCCAAAAATGAATAAAATACAATGAATTCATAAAATGTGTTTCAAAATATTTTATTTTAAATCAATAATTGAACAATGTGATTTTATTTAACATTTAAATTATATATGGTATACTTAAATTTAATATAATAACAAGAGGTACACATTTGCTATAAATGTAATTAGGTAGGATTCAGTTGTGAGACTCGAATACTAAAAACCGGGTGTTAACTTTTTAGTTAATCGACCCAAGTAGTTCATCACTCGACACTCGTCAGGTAGTATATAGGTACAAAACAAAAAGGTTTTTTAACTATAATCTGTGTATCCTGTGTCCTCGCCATAGAGTACGTCATATAGTAGTCAGTAGTCTCTATAGTGGATGTGTAAATTTTAAATTAAATAATATATAATAATAATATAATATTATCTATTGAATAGGTATAAGTATGAAAAATAGTTCTAAGCGGAATTCGTCTGCCGACTGTCAGCAAATATTTCTAAAGACATTTTATATCCTACATATTTTTTTATCATTTATATGGTAAGTAAATGTAAGTTGCACTAATATTCTGAAAATGTCATTGTTGATAATAATATTCGTAATGGTAAAAAGTCCCTGCAAATAATATATTTTGAATTACATGAAAATGACTAAAATTGTCATTATTTGTTGGGTACTTTTTCATCACTGATATACTACAACTAACCAACAATTTTGTATAACATTTTTAAACTTTTATAAAAAGAAATTTTCAATTGTGTAAAATAACCTATAAATAGCTCAAAAAGAGATGAAAAAATGAAAATTGAATAGGCCATGTCTATAAAATACTAATAAAAAATATGTTTGACGAAAAATTGAGTATTACCAGATCCAGTTTTCTATAGCAGAAACCATCTTCAAAGTTGAAGATTGAAACATTTTTACTGACTCCAAAGGTAATAATATTCAAGAAAGATAATTATTTTAAAACACACATTGTTGTAAATTGTTTGAGAATCTCAAAAAACAACAGTACTTATTTTTATTGGACTAAAATCAGTTGAACTTAATGCATTGACTATGAGGCATGAATATAATTAACATAATAACATGTACTATATTTTAAGCAACACAATTAATATTCTAATTCACATACAATGTTAATAGTATTTTTCATTTTCTATGCAACTATTATTACTATTTAGACTTAGACTAGAGAGTATATTATTGAATGCACAGTATATTTCATTATATTATAGTTATAAAATATGGGTCAGTTAACATTATTTAAAAAAAATGTATAATCATAATCGATATGGGTGTATTATTTTTCTCTTTATCGACATCTTTTTTAGTACTATCTACATAGTAATATTCAGGAAAATAATACAAGAATATACTATTCGTACTTAGATAAGTAACATATATTACCTATATAGGTGTATCATAACTATGCGTCACTGTAATTCGTAATAATATGCTACATTACAGTATTGGAAACGAACCGATGTCTGTCGGAATATTGTATTATATTTATATAATTAGATCAATGCGATTACAACACGAGATAGATCTCGGGAGACCAGATAACACACTCTGGGCTGGATTTCCTGAGCGACACGACTTGTTCGTCCGGCGTAATAAAGTTATTATCGCATTGTTTCCTCCGCGAACGGGGAGCCATTAATCAGCGAAAACGGCACCGTCTTGCTGTGCAATCTGCATTTCAGCCTCATTAACTTTCATTATATTATACACGCGGAGATATGGCGCGCACAACTGTAAGACAAACGGCGCACTGGCGTATCCCGGAGTCCCTAGACAATGGTTTAACCCTTAAAACGTCCCTTGGAACACATACCGCACATGTATAATATTATATTAAATACTTCTGTGTTTCCGCGTAATATTCTATTATCTCTTCCATCTGGTGTTTGAATATGCCCGACCAGTCCTTCTCTCGACTCATTTACCTCTTTCGGTCGTTAACTCGCCCTTAACAAAGTTCTTTTGTTGCATTACGATGCCATGCCACCCGATTTGCGAACATCGTCAACATGCACAAAAAACCCTAACCCGAAACATTTTTTAACATTTTTTAGTCTTTTGCGATAATGCCACTCATCAATTATTAATAGGTAGGTAGGTACATAGTATTGTATTATATGTATACACAAATACTTGATTTAGTTGCATTCTTTACATTTGATTAAAATTGAAAACCCATACCTAAATATTATATAATACGTTTGAATGATTTAAAACATTCGTATGTATTCATGTGAAAAATATACAATGTAACAGTTCACTTGTCCTTTATTCATTCGGTTTTGATGTGCTGGGTGCAGTAGAATTGCGATATGTGAAAACGGAGCTTGTGATGTTTTGCCATGTCACGTAGAACCACGAACCCAAATACGAGTTGCGACAAGAGTAAAAGGCACATTATGCCTTGAACGGCAATTTCAACGGGCATGGTGTTCAGGAACAAGAATACCAACTGCAGAGGTAATTGGAGAATCAATGAAAACATCCAAAATGCGGCCAAATCTGGAATCTATATAACGTCACAAAATAAATTTGAAATTTAAAGTATTATCAGAGGGATATTTTGGGAGGAGTCCTGCAGAATTCATGAATGTTACCCAGCCCAAATATAAAAAATAAAGTTCTTTACTTTTTCTTTGAGATTTCCTTGAACACCCAAGTACAGTCGAGCGCATTCCAGCATCAATATCAAAAATAGTGACACGGAAATTATAGTTTGAGTTAACATGTTTAGACAATTCAACTAAAAATTAAAAATATTTATACTATATTCATATCAAAAATATTGTAGTAAATTACCATTAGTATAACTTACTTTAAAAGAAATCAGTGATAAAAACGTATAAAGCCAAAATGGAAAGTATACAACGTTAAAATACAGTGACATTTGCAGTGGAAGACTAGATACGATTTCGTTACCTACGACATATTAAGCGTTTTAACATATTATTTTTTTTTTTTTAAATCATTTGCAAATGGAGCATTTCAATATTGTATTAAATTTATATATTCGTATACATACTGGTGTAAATATTATAATATACATTTTACCAATAGCTCAAATGTACAATATAATAAGTAGGTACAAATGTAAAATACTACCATAATTAGTATAAGTATAATTAATAATTATTTATATTATACTATATTAATATATTACATGTCTTAATATTACCTATATTTTACTATTTTAATACAAGGACAATTTCACAAATAAATTTCCAATACTCTCATTATTAATAGACAACAATTAAATTTATTTAGAAAACCAAACACGTACCAAAAGCTGTTCCGACTTTTTCTTCGGGAGGGAGAGATGGAAATATACGATCAGTAATGTTCATCATTGTTTGCCGCCAACTGTCACTCATTATTAATTATTATTTGAAATACAATATATGTAAAACAAACTAAAAAAATCATAAAAAAACAAATTATTTAAAAAAAAATGCAGATGTGCCTATGATTTACATTTTAAATTAAATCGCATACAAATTATAATAAATAATATCACGATAAATTATCAATAAGTATGTAGGTTTACATGCCCGAGTATACTAGTATATTTTTGACACTTGAGTCGTAACTCAAAAGTAAAAAGCTCTCAGTACCTATTTTCCTAAATAATTGAGAAAAATTGTGGGTAAATAGGTGTCACGCTCTACAGTATATTAGATGTTGTATAAGTCACTATAATAGAAGTGTTAAATTTGAATTAAATTATATTATATCATCTAAACATAAATTAAATACAATATTTATAATGATAGTTATGTATTTTATTATTAGTAATACTGCATATTAGGTTGACGAGACATTTTTTTTAAAATTTTTTTTTTTAATGTACTTTAAATGTTTACCACAGCTTATAATTTTTTACTAAAATCGTTATTCTTCATTAACGTATCCAATGAAGAAAATTTGTTATGAAATTCTAACTCAAAATATTTTTCAAATTTTCATGATTTTGACGAATTCTATCAAAATTCTAACTTTAAACGATTATAGTAAAATAATGTGAATAATATGTTTTTCGATATCTTTTTTAGTACATTAACAAGTTATGATGAACCTTGTATTAAATCTAACCTGTAAGCGAAAAGAATTTTATCGACATTTAAATTAAAAAAGTAAAAATGTAAGTGTCTATAAATAACTCAAAAACAGCTCTAACTCAAATGATTTTAAAAATTCTATTAAAGGTTCCAGTAGATCATTTCTTAAGGAGTAAGAATCAAGCAAATTATGTGGCAGGTACATCCGGGTCATGTTAATGTGTGCGAGTGTATGTGTGTATTAATGTGTATGCCAAGGTGTATTTATCAGGTGTCGTGTCGACACTCCGCTTATCAATTGAACGAAAAATGTACACCAGTTGAGATTGCCACCATGAGCGCTAGCTACCCTCAGAAGGCCGAAATCAAGATGTATACTATATTTATAATATTATAATTACACTTCCTTTCTTTACTGACTTACTAGTTCTTATAATTTCTTATAATCTAATACTCAATATTTTTAAATTTTAAAAAAACAATGCCACTCAGGTGCTTTGTAGGTACCTGGTTGTGACACTGGCTTGCTTACTGATCGCAAAAGGTTACAGAATGAAGGAAAAAAATATCCTTCGATATTCCATCCCCCTGAGGTAATAGATAAATAAATCGTCATATTAAAAACTAGAAATGTCTAACTGTTACTTGTAAGTATAACAACAAACCAATTTTATATGTAGATTGTATATGTTAACTGTTAAGTATTTGTTAGTTGTTGTCTGTTGACTGTTGTAGTATGTGTTTTCAAACGAATATTAAGTTTTAAATACCTTACTGTTGAGTTATTTTTGTATTTGATTATTGAATATTCTTTATTTCATTAGTATTTGAAAGGCAAAATTTAGGTTTTCAAGTGAGCCAATCTTAATATAGTCTAGTTTTGTAGAACATGGTTGATATTTGGAATAGAAAAATACCAAGAGCACATAAAACTTTAAGTATTAAAGATGGAGTATGCCAACTTCATTTTACACCTAGTGATATACACACAACTAAAGTATAAATAGATTCAGAAAACATAACGAAATAGTCTCAAACAAAAAAAAAACAGAAAAACGATTAAAAAAAATTTCAAAAATTGTCTAATACTTAATAGTATTAAAATAAAATATAATAATATAATACCCACCTATATTAATTATTATTGTATTGTTTATTTTAACAATTCACACCACCTCGTTTTAATTTAACCAGCAGATATACTCGTAAACACTTGCACATATAAATATTAATATAAATAGTTTACATTTCATATAAATAATAGGATAAATATTAAATAATACGAAATTTCAAATTAAAACACATGGGAAAAATTGAAAATAATCGGCCCTCTGAGAGTAGACAGCGCTTCCTAGCGGAATATACAAGTGGAGTAATATTTTCGTTCATTTCATCAACGGGCAGCGTTCGTGAGTGTCGACACCTGATAAATACACCTTAGTGTATGCGCTACAACATGCCTCTAAGATAAGCTCTGACAATAGCACATGTCAGTATATTAAATTAGGAAAAAGTATTCGGTTACTTTTCGAGTGAAGCATAGGTACTTACCTCAACCTCACCTGTGACAAAATTGTAAGAATTTTTTTTGAAATTTAAATTCCTCCAATACATATGACTGAACAAAAATGTTATGATTTTACAATATTGTAAAAAATTGAAGCCTTGAAAAAATATCTCCGACCGTCCTCTAGAGGTAGAGATATATTATGTTATTATTTTAACAGAATTAAAATCAAAAAATCCAAAGTCTCACAATCTTGTCATGGCAGAAGGTTTAAAACGATTTTTTTGAACTGACTAGAACCACCTTAAGTAATGGTCTTATACAATTTGTTGTAAATTTAAAGTATCTACGGTTATTCGTTTTTAAGTAACACCAAAAAAAAGTTTTAGTAGTCAATCTTTTATAGCGTCCTTGCTTTGTGATGGCAGCGGGCAAACAACTATTGATTTCGACAATAATGCAGATCACGCGTTACACGTTTAATTCAAATAAGACAACTGAAGTCAGCAATTTACCACAATAGTACCATTGTACCTAATAAGTTATATAATAAATAATAATTTAACCTACTTACTTCAAAGTTTAATTTAGTGAAGTATCAACAGTGAATAAAATATCTAATTAATTGTACAATATGTTTAAATTATTTTTAGATTTATCTAACAAATTGTACAAATAAAGTGAATTTAGAATAACAGTCAACCTGGTCAAAATGCAATGAGTTATAGTTGCAGGCGCGACGCAGTTAAGCGTTCGTGTGTAGTGAATAATGAATATAATAAAAATAATTATGTATTTGTTTTTTTAAAGCTCGAAGAAATATTAAATACACAAGGTAAGTTTTGTTATAGATTTTTAAATTAACACCTATATTATATACTTGACGTACAACGATACTATTTGCTCATTGTTGTACATCATATTTATTTATTCACAGTCAACAATTAATTAAATAAATCGGGGAGTGTTAGAAATCAATAATTTGAAATAATAAAAATTACATTAATATGTACGTAATAAAAGGAATAAAACATCATATTTACCCAGAATCAATAAGTAAATCAGTAACAACAGCTGCAAATAAGATTTTACTTGCACATTTACACTTATAACTACTTACAAGCGATTTTATTGCATGAAAAAAAAAACAAACGTTCCTTGGCTGTTTTGTTTTCCTGCTCGTTTCCATAGCACCCGTGATTGGTGAACATCGACCACACATACCAAAAAAAGAGAATTATATTAATGTACCCGGGTATATGTTTGCACAAATTTAAATTCAAAACAAACGGCATTTCAGAAACTTGTTGCCGTTATCAATGTTACTTTAGGTTGCTCCAAGTAACTAATAGGTATATCCACCACATAGTTACCTCACAAATAAGTGGAATAACTATAAAGCATTGGTTATAAACACCTAGTAGTATTTATCTATTGTTAATCTCGCACAATTTCGCGGGTCTCTCATTCATTCATGATATACCAGGTGCGTAAGTGCGTTATCATAAATAAAACAAAAAACATAAATAATATTAAAAAAGGGGTTCTTAGAACCCCTTATTTTTTAGGTCTACGTCTAACTATAATTACTGTAATGAAATACCATCAATTTATTGTTTTTGTAAATTATAAAACACCATAATTGCTCTACCACTGAGCTACCCGACAGTGCATACTGAAAATGTTATTTCCCTAAACAGAATATGTGGAATATTAATATTATAGCAGACCATGTAGACATAAATATATACAATAAGTAGATACTGTCTAGATGGCCGTCCCCTTCTTATCATTGATGTCAGTCGCCATTTACAAAGCAAGCAATGTTTATTACAAGACAATATTATCACAGTATATATGAATACATAAGTAAATTTGTATATGAATAAATGTAAGGTTTGACTACTTTATAAACGTCCGGCTTCACCATCGGTCACAAGTCACAACTGTAATAATATAAGCTGTTATAAAGGTGAGCAAATTAATTTTATTTGTGGTTGTTGTATATGTCTATGACTGCAGATAATTCTACTATCACAGATCTTATCAACCTTAAACCAATCTGACCAATGTCCACCTCAGGGCGAATGTTTGTGACATTCCGTGTTATCAGCGCACCGGTTATCGTGCATAGACGTGACAACCGAACATTACTACCGTCACCTATTTCGCATTTACTTTTTAGTTTATATTATTTAGTATTTACCTACGTCTAGGCTCCTAGAAATGTAAAAATACTTCAATTCAACACACCTTATATTTTCCATTTCAACAGTTTATTTTTCCCGTTAATCTCAAATTCAGCCAACGCGTCAGAATTTCTAGTGTCCGCCGTCTGCCATGTAAATGTAATCGTCGTTTTCTTCGCGATTCATCATCGTATTGATTCTTTTAGTTTTTAATTATAATTTATTTTATTTACCGTTGAGCACTTACATCGCTTCCTATAAATTAATCTTGCTGCCGGATCGTGAATTCATCCGACTGATAATAATACTGCAGTTGCTTTAAAAATGATTCATTCGACGCTTTTGGTGGCGTTAGTGTTGACGGCAGTAGTGATTGCAAAAAAATCGCCCGATGGCGAGAAGCCGTCTTGGGCTAAAAAAGATATTAGCTCTTATTCCGAGGCCGACATGGAACGATTGCTTGACCAGTGGGAGGTAGGCACTATTATAATTACAGGGTTTGAATATAACCTTGAAAAATCTATTTTATTACCTACTTAATTAATGTAAATCGTGCAACAATTTACTCGGAAATATACTTACATGTGTTAGTTTTCTATGTTATTTATGTGGTTTTGAATTTCATATATTATGTTCTACGCCTAGGAAGACGAAGAGCCTTTGGAACCTGATGAGCTACCCGAACACTTGAGACCTCCTGTCAACATTGATCCAACTTTGGTAACTTTAAAATTACTTTATTACTATACATAGCATTGTTTAAATATACATTTTTTGATACTAACAACCTAAATATGTATAATATGTCTATAAGGTAACATGCTATTTTTGCCTGCTTGTCATTAAAAATGAATTAATAATCAAAAATGAAACCAAATACTGTATTTATTAATTATAATAATTTATTCCATCATAAAATAATTTTTACAATTAAACAATGTACCTACCTACTTAATACAAATAATTGATACCTTTCCAAAAAGCATACTTTTTGTTTGGAGTAGGTCATTACTTTTAAAGTACCTATATAGATACTACATATAAATTTACTAATAGATAGAATGCAGATGTTTTTAGACTGGCAAGTTTTGTTACGATAAGTCTCTAATATCAATCAACTATTTTGATTTAAAAACCCCATCTGTAACTGAAGTAATTTTAAAACATTCGTAAACGTTTTTGACAATCGCTATCTTTGGGTCATATATTATAGCGTCCATACTGAAGTCTGGTGGTTACACAAGTATGAGTTGTGCTAGATTTAAATTAACCTGTCGTTGCTATTACAGTTTCCATCAATATTAAGGGTTATTACTAATCTGCAAAATAATGAAATAATATTACTTTCTTCTTTTATAAGTGTCCTTATAATAATATATAATTATAATAATATAACATTTCTATACAGTATTTTAAATTTCAATGGATAAAGTAAAGTAAGTTTGGTAGAAGTCTTCCAATTTGAAATAATACATTTAAATTAATCAAATGTTACTAATATATATTTATATATTTTTAAATTATCAAATGATTAATTTGTGGTTTGCAGTTAGGAAGTGATCCAGATGCCTTGTTAAAACTATCCAAAAAGGGTAAAACTTTAATGACTTTTGTGAAAGTATCACCGAAGTATAATAAAGATGATGTGGATAAAATAACCAAACTCTGGCAATCAAGTCTTTGGAACAACCACATTCAAGCAGAAAGGTTAGGGAAAATTAATTTGTTAGATTTTTTTTAATACATAGGTTTATCAATATTTCAAGTATGTAAAATATAAATCATATTCATCAATACACTCATTTGCTTATAATCAATGATCATAAATCATTTTTATGTGATTATAAAATGATTAAATAATTTAATTAAACTGGTGTTGGTATTGGTATAATATGTGTCCTTTCATATCCACACTTTTAAGTATACACTTACAAAAGTAATGTTTTAATAATATTTAGAAGACTATTCTCTTAATAATTTGTGTATATTAGTATTTGTTGGATTACGCATTCATAGTGATGTCCTTACGAAGTGAGTTATAATAAAATAATTAATAGAGCTTAGATTTGAAATGAAAAATCACGAAATATCACATTTGAGCAAGAATAGCCAAATATTTGGTAAAATAATATTTTTATAAAAATATGATTTTAGTTAATTTAATTAACTAAAAAAAAGTTACAACAATGTTTACTTACATATTTATTATTGTATAAATATAATCTAAAAAAAACATAGTATAGTATTATAATTATTGTGTAGGTGACTTAGAATTTATCTTTTTTTTTTTTACCTACTTTTATAACTGACTCATGACTGACACTTAAAATCTTTATTTTTTTTTTAAATTGTACTTAAAGTTACAACATTATACAATTTATCATTAAGACACTAAATATGACCATAATATTTTTAAATATGTTCAAAAAACAGCAACATTTTGAAATATGATAAAGATTTGCTCAAAAATAATTTATTCTTTTAAACACCACTTTCATGCAATATATTTTATGCTTACTTGGCATACAGTACAATCAACCAGTAAAAATATGCAAATTCTTAGAAATCGTAGCCAAATTGCACTATAAAAATATTACAGTCAATCATTTAAATTATTATATTCATTAGAATTTAGAACCATAATTTTGCTTTAATGATTTTAAATATCATTTAATATATGAAAAATAAATTTTAAACATGCTCACTTGTATTTTATTAGTTTATAACATTTAAGGTAACTTAAAAGTTATGATTTTATATTTGTGTTTAAAAAATAACATTTGCACATTTGCTTTGTATAGGAATTTAAATATTCTTTATTGATATGTAAATAAAATCTAGAAAACTACCTAGATGGTTAGATAATAATAGAACCTCGCCGCATTGTACATCTTATCTTTTATGTTATCAGTGGATGAACTTTGTCAGAGTTTATATTGGTATGAACAATATAATAGTCAGTTTGTAGGCTAGTGTTACTTGGGCCGAATTCATCATTTGTAGTGCATTAAGTATAAGCGTGAATGGTTATCTATTTTTTATTACTGAGATAAATTAAGCTAGTATGAATGTGTAAAATCAATTTTAGGTATTAACTTTAATTTGTGTTATAGGTTTATGGTTGATGATAATCGAGCTATATTCATGTATAAAGACGGCTCACAAGCTTGGGACGCTAAAGATTTCCTGATACAACAAGAAGACTGTGTTGATGTAACAATTGAAAATCAAGTGTACAAAGGTCCAGCTTCTCCATTTGTAAGCATTAACTATTTTTAAATTTGTATTATTGTTGATAACATTTTTAGTATCTTCAGTAGCTTATTTTAAAAGTGATTTGTTGGATAGTTTCAAATAAGCCTAGTACTATTTCATTAATTGTACAAAACTAGTTAACCAATTTCAATTCAAAATAAAATCACTTTTATAAATATTTAGTTGATAAAATAGGGATAATCCTAAGACATTACATTTTACAAAATATTCTCTAACTTCAAAATAATTTGCATTTGTATGTATAAAAAAAACAATTCTTATTAATAAACTAACATTTTTGTCAAATTAACTGGGTGAAAACTTAATAATACTATCTATTAATTAAACAAAGATTATATTTTTAAACAATTTACCTAGTAATAATATTCTTTACCCCCTGAGGTACAGCTGGTGAGACAAGGGTTTTTCATTATGGTTAAATAAATCTAAAATTCTAATTTTAAGTTTTATTTTGGATTAAACAAGTAGTTAAAAGGGTAGACACATTGGGTAGACAAAACTGAAGAACACAGTAATATTTATCTAATAAAAGTTGTTGGTATTAACCTTTGCTCTTAACTAGAGATATTAGTATTAATTGATATAATTAGATACTAAAAACAGTAAGAACGATTTTAATGATAACAAATTTTTATTTCAGGTTGAAGGAAACGTTGAAAAAGTGGAATTATAATTGTTATTTTCTATTAGTTTAGTTTATTTAATTATATAAAATTATTCTAAAAATGTCAAACTTTATTTATATTTATATTATTGGCTTTTTAGACATAGCCAGTCTAGCCACAATCATGCCTTCATTTAATCGTCGTCTCTTAAAATTTGGAGCTACTCACTTACAGATAACCCTTCTAGAGTCTCTCTTCTCAACTTTTCAACTTATCACAGGCCCTATTGTTGGAACGCTGAGTGATCATTTTGGTCGTAAACCGTTGCTTTTGCTTTCAATGATCTTTAGTGTTCTTGCGTTTTTTGTCATGGGGCACTGTGATACTTATCTATCGATTGCTGTCATTCGATTGATGTTAGGTTGTTTCAAACACACCCAAATGTTAGGAAAATCATTGATTGGTGATAATGTACCTAAAACTCAACAATTGAGCACCCATGGAAAATTAAACAGCTTCATTTCATTAGCATTTATGATAGCGCCAATTTATGGGGGTTATTTGTCTGAACACGAAAATGGTTTTTACTACTTAGCTTGCTCAACCAGCTTACTTTGTGCCATAAACGCCATTATTATAGCATTGAGTGTACCTACCAAAATAATTAAGACAACTGGTCTAAAAAAAAATATGTTTCACCATTTAAAAGAGGTTGATTGGATAGAATATTGGCCATTATTGTTCATGAGAATGATGTATACTGCAACACTATCAACAATGATGGTGACATTTGGTTTTGTACTCATAGAAACTTATAAGCTCACACCATCCCAAGTTGGTTACACATTATCAGTTAATAGTTCAATTGGCGTTGCCACTGGATTTGCAGTTGCTAGATTGGAGCCATTCTTTCGAAATTATAGTTCATTCAAAAAATGTTTCTTTAGTTTTATTTTACTGTTTGTTGGATATGTTTGTTTGTCATGTGCTCCTAATATAACGTTTCACATTGTGTGCATGGTTCCTATCATTGCAGCTGGTACTCTGATAGAAGTATTTTTAAATCAAATTCTATCGGAAACCTGTATGGGTGAAAATAGAGGTACTCTAGAAGGTGCTATGACTAGCTCTATCTCGGTAGCTCGATCTATTACTCCTGTAGTTGCTGGATTGGCTATGGATATCTATGGTTCTAGTGGGGCATATGTTTTTGCAGCTCTAGCTGCTATTTCTGCTGCTATGTTGGCTAAATTTTATGATAAAAAAACCAAACGATCATAAATTAAAAAAAAAAGTGTTCATCAATGATCTTATATTTTGTATTAACCTTTATTTTACTTATTAAGTATAAAATAAGTACATAATATTAATTGTAAAAATCTATTTTTCTATAAGTTTTGTTGAAAAACAAACAAATATTTTAAATGTATCTTAGGAAACCTTTTATTCCATTCAAAATGTTGTATGTTTATACTGTTAATTTAACTTCAAATTTAAATAATAGTTATATTCAATTCAGTATGTACTTAGATTGAAATTACTATAGTTCAATATGTGGTTAAAATAGTATTTATTTATATTTGATATTATTGAACCCAGTTTGAAGGTTTTATGTGTAATATCAAATAAGATAAGCTAAAATGAATGTATTCAACAATTACCTATGAACAGTTAATATCAGTGCTTTTATAATATATTATATTGAAATGTAAAATTAAAATTAGTAGTATAAGCTGCCAAGTTTTTTTTTAATAATAACTTTTTTTAGATTCTTTTTTGTACATAAAGATATATTGTTATAAAATAATTATACCTACTTATAAGTGCAAGTGTAAGACTACATTTTTATTTTTTTAGTATTGTTTCTTAAGTATTAAATAAGTTTTATAATAATTAATAATTTTGGCTCATTACAAGGTAGGTATTAATGTGTAAAAAAAATTTAATTCTGTATGATAAGGTTTTCATTAACTGAAAAAAGTAAAAAATGAACAAACGGTTAGTAATCAAAAATCGATCAATCTAAAAATGTAAAGAAGATACACAAACAATCATATTTTGAAGCAACCTAGCTAACCTAACCTAACCAACACTGGTAAAGGTGCAGCAACCTCGATTCATCAAATTGTGTAGATATTAATAGGTGACCATTTATCTACATAAGCGATAGATTCTGCATGAATTTAAATCCAACTTAGCCATACCAAACATTTTTTTTGCTTCTGTTATTTATAAAAATGTGTTATTTTATAATTCGAAAGAACCCAAAAATCGAATTATGTATTTAATATTTGAAATGAATTATAAATATATTTAGTGTATTATTTAAAGTGTACCTATCTTGGTTTATTATTTAATTTAACGTATAAAGGAAGTTATAAAAGTTTGTAGCATAACAGTGGTTTATAAGTTTATAAATTATAACTACTGAACTACCTATTCATAAAACAAACATTATTACAAAAATGTCATTAATTCATTAAATAAACAATAAATAAACATGGAAATTAAATAAATAACCAATTTATCATTATTTTGGAGGATTGCTAACAAATTTATATTAAGGATGGATGAATGGCCAGAAGAAAATACAGGCAGAGATGTATAGTAATAATTTCTTAGAGAATTTAATTTGAAATATAATTAGCAAGAGCGATATAGGTGGAAACTTTGTGGTGAAACGAAAAAAATAGTGGAACATTGGTTTAAATACCTGTACGATCATAAATCATATCCAAAAGATATTGGGGGTGTTCGTCCATTTTCAATAGTTCTTTAATAAAATTAATATTAGGTATTACATGTTTTATTATATACACGGCATCATATATATCATGATTACTATAAAAAATGAGTAAGCAGCATAATATAGTATTTCGAGTGAAACCGTCACATAACTTACAGTTTGAAAGTATGTAGGACACCACCTTTAGAATGAACATGACCGCTTTCAAGTTTTTATAAAACAATTTTAATTTTACAGTAAGTAATCATAAGTATCCTCTAAGCGTGAAAATTGAGTTGGTAACATAGTAACATTTATTATTAACATTTCCTACTGACACACTAATAAAATTAATATTTCAAGTGTGTTTTGAAACATTCAAATATATTTAAAACATTACATTGGTACTTGGGCTATTAGACCCAGGTGCTGCCGCATCCTTTGATCCTACTTGACCAATTATGCATTTATACTATGTATCTATAACTACTAAAAAAACAAAACGTTAGATGTAAGACTATCAACACAATAATATTATGTATTTCTCACTACGATAAAAATGGAATTAATAAATAGAATTTTCAGATAGTTACATAAAAATTTATCTGATAGTCGTTATGAATTTCAAGGCCAGAGTACAATAATAATATATTTTTCACATACTCACAATCCCAATTTTAACTGGGTACCTACTAACATTAATATAAGTACTCATTGTATATACAACATATCATTATGTATTTATGTGCATTATCATTACATAAATAATAGTATTTGGATCTATTTATTTTTTATTTTTACAATGCATAATACTATAGTAAGTACCCAATAAACAGAAAAAAGATTTATAGATAGGTACCTACCTGTGTGACAATAAAAATAATTTAATTTCTGTGTTTCACAAACATGTCCAAATCTGCAGTATAATAATAGGCGTATTTTAGGTTATACCTACATTTTTATTTTCTATTATAGTATATGTATTAGGTCTACTTGTACACATTTATTTCACCTACACATTTTTACTAACTAACTAGCCACGTTGTAGTTTTTTTTAATAGTATTCAATATGATGTTTTTGGTACTTTTTTTAATATTTGTAACTTCGTTGGATTCGATAGAGGTACCTATATTGTATATTATAATTTATAATAATTTGTTATAATTATGCTTATAGTAGTAGGTATATTAAAAAACAGCCTAAATAGGTATCTATTCATAATATTGTATCTACCTAGATACTTTTATAGCCTAAGCCGTGGGTGGAGGGTCAGCAAATTTTATTAGGCACCAACTTCGAGATTTTTATATTAATTTAAACACGTCCATATTAATTATTATTCTATCGCCTCAGAAGTGCATAGACTTTTAGGTACTTAGTAACTTAGTATGTATATTATTAGTGTGTGCTAATATGTTGTACCCGTATACTTAGTGGGCCTCCAAGGTTTTTTTTACATAATTTTTGGTTCACACAACTAAAAAAGTTAGGGGCCGTTGGTTAATACTGTCTACTTGACCTCTTCTTGTTGTCCATTTGTCCATTCTGCATTTCGACATTCAACTTATTACACCTTTAACGGCTTTAACCTATGTTCTTACTTGCTTGTTTCAGTCTCGTTATGCACTTGTCATCAAAGAAGCCTTCACTTGTATGCAAAATGCAAAGATTAACATTGTTATGTATAAAAACTCCTCGAGTTTGGCAAAAAATAATATTGGGTATGTCGAATTACTAGAAGCAATTGAACCAAATAATAACTTTCAGGTAAAAATATTTGTGACCAGTATTAATAAATTTACCTATAAGGTATCACCATTCTAATGTGGTGGGGGTAGCAGGTACTGATGTAATATTACTGTAATTTATGATATACGATATACCAATAGAAATTACCTACTTGGGCACTTGGCTACTTATTGAAATAAATATTATGTGTATTAAATTAGAGATAGGTAAGTACAAAGGTATGACAATATTAACAAATAATGTTAATCATAATAATTAATAAAGTACTTACGTAAGCACATGCCTATTTACCTGTATTTTATACATAACCCCATTACCCATTTCCGTCAACCTGCCTTCTATGGTAAAAACATTATTATATATTCCATATTATCCATAATATTATTTTTAAGGTATTGTAGGATTTATATTTTATATTAATTTATATTTTTGTGTAATTACGGGTTTTCTGGTGATCGGCGTTCTCGATCAGTATCAGTATGAATTGACCGTTGCCCGTATCTAGACCGGTCGAGCGATATTTACTATTTATATATTATTAATTAATTGTATTGTATATTTGTATTGTGTGTGTGGGTACGCCGATCGGCCAGACGAACTGCGTACAGATATATATATTCAGTCATTTCTTGATACGCGTCGCAATGACCGTTTCTCTCTCAATAAAAAAAATAAAGTAATAAAGGAAAACATGTTTTTTAATAGTCTACGTTTTATACGGACTCCTCTTACAGTATGAAATAAAGTTTTAATTGATAATAATTGTACATAGTTTATAATATGACAATGCTAAATATTGAATAAATATTATAATAACTCAAATAAAACTGTAGTAAAGTCTGAGCTTTAGTTTCTATCTTATTGATTTATATGCGATAATCATAATTCCATACTTCCATATTTAAGTTACATTATATTTATATAGGTTATAGGTAGGTGTGTGTGTTATGTTTGACGAACCATGAAGATAATAATTTTAATTTTACCATAGAAGGTAGATTGGCGAAACGGGAATCAAACTTTTTTTTAAATTGGCGCAAACAGTACTCTATTCTCCTAAACCGATGTTTTAAAAATAAATAGATACTTTTTCAAATAACACCATAATACAATAATCGTATTGATGACAAATAACAACTGTACGATTAACCATAGTAGGAATAGTATTTAGACAACCTCATGGTAGGTACCGGTAGACAGAAGTTGTCGCATATTGTATCTACCTACTAATATATAATAATTAATAACCTATAGGTAAGTATCAGTGTCGGTCTGGGCTATGAAAGGCCTAGGCAGGGTTTTTTAGGGCCTCAATTTTTTTATCAAAATTTATCTAAGATTGGGTTGAAATTATTATTGTGAAAGTCATGTTTTGTGATATCTTACATACATATAAAATATATACATTATACATGAATATTTTTGTAGCATATTAATTAATGTATTATTGTTAAATACAAACTAACTTCACTTCATACATACCCAACATATTATAGAAAATATATATTTAAAATTAGACTATTATTTTATTATTATAACAAATGTGTACATAATATTTCTTAGTTAAAAAATAGATGAATTTTATACAAGTTTGAATTACATACTCTCTATTAGGTATTAAAATTTACTTTTTCTTTTTTAATAAAATCACCTTAAATTCACTGATACACTATTTAAATAATTATATTCTACTAATTAACAGACTTGGTTAATTTTATAACAACGTTATATTGTATCTGTATGAGCGTTAACATATTATGAAAAACATGTAGTACTTATCCAAAAATAGAACAAAAATAATTTACGAAAAATAATAAATACTCGTATTTTTAAACCATTATGATGCGATGAGAGAAATGACAACAAAACACCTAGAGAATACTTGTATTTTAAAAACAAAATTATTCCTATAAACCGAAAGTATTCAAATATTCAATGTTAATAAGTTTTTATCCTTTAAACTCTTTTTGCTCATTAATTGTATATATTTGTGCGAGACCCAATTACCAAAATTTAATCGCACATGTATGTAATGAGTAATGACCTAAAGAGCCTTTAACAATACTTAGCACCCTGGGCTATTAAGTCCCCGTTCATCACTATTTGAGGCGCCTATGCTAGAATAAAAAAAAAAAAGTGAGGGCCTCGCTGCCCTGGCCAGGCCGACACTGGTAAGTATGTAATCAGTGGCGCCTCGCGCATACAGTTGATATTATGGCATTATGCAATGATGTCTATGTTTTTGTCAGTGGCACGTGTCATTATATATTATAATTAAGCGGAAATATTATGCATAAAAGACAAAAAAAAATATTCAGGAAAACCGGATTTAAGCATTTTTTTTTTAAATCATTGAAAAAAGCAAAAAATCACTATTCATTTTAATAATTGTAATATGACATACACTTCCATGTATAGATTTCATGTCAAACCATAAAAATAAGCGAATGCTTTAAGTCAAAAGCCCTGCTTATTACTTACCAACTTGTTTTCAATTATATTTATGAATAAGAATATCTGTTATTATTTTAGGTGAAAATTGAAGCCCACCACAGAGGCATAAGTGATTCGGCCAAAATCCCTTCATTAAATGTCCAGAGAACAGATCTTTGTAATTTTATATCCATAGATTTGTTATTTGCACCATTAGTTAGAAGGATTTTTGATTTAGAAAAATTCTGTCCTATTGCCAAAGTAAATTTATTTTTAGTCCTTAAACATTATTTTATTTTTACCTAATAATTTATGTGATTTGACATTTTAAAGGGTAAACACATAGTTTATAAAGATAAACTTGTTTCAAAGTATCGACCTTACATTCCACTGGGCTGCTGGATGTTAATAAGTAGAATCACCAGAAAAGAATCAATGTTCACATGTCTTAACCTTACTCTTCAATCATTGCCATCAATGAAATCAGAGCCATATCAGTGTACATAGTTGTTTTTTAATATGTACTTGGTATATCTCATTTTTAATTGTTTTACATAATATATCACTAATATCATATGTAATACATATTGTAAAATGTGAAACATTACCTATGTAATACACTACTATACACCAAAAGAAATATTGTATTAAAATTACAATATGTATATATATTAACACATATAATTACCTAAATATTTAAATAATAGTACAAGACATATTATAATATATTAAATAAATAATTAACTTATAAATATCAATAATTATGAATCAGATGTGGTAGGTACTTAAAATTCTATAATTTTATAATTCATACAATTACAGTCATCACACCTACGGGTATATGAAAATTGAAATATTTATACTGGACAATTCTGAATAGCGATTACTGAATGGGTAGTTTAAATTTATAAGTGTGATATAATATTGATTTTAATTTGGATAAAAAACCAATTATGATAGCAACAACCTATTTCGAGAATATATTCTTTTATTTATTTGATGAAAGTGAGAAGTATAAAATGTAGTTGAATACCTATAAATTATATACTTATTTTACAATTTTGTTTCAAAGTATCTATACTCATACGTTTCTTTATGTCCAACTTATAAAATAAATAACTATGACAAGATTATAAACTTGAATTGAATAACTGTTTGAGAAGTTCAGTTTTATCCATCTAACTTGCAATTTTTCAGGATGCATATTATTTTATTTATGTTATAGTTTATACATTATGTTAATTTAGTTTAATATATAGGTGTATGGTGTAATTTAAGCCTGTTTTATCAAATAAAAATTTACTTCCTAATATTTGTGTATTTATATGATTTTTTTTAAATTTTAGTTTTCCTGTCATTGATTGTTGCTTCTTTTACACAAATTGCAAAATATAAGCAATACTATCTTGTATAACATTTAATTTTGAAAATTGAATTTGAAATCATTATAAAAACAAATTGTGCAAATGCAATATTTAACTTTTGATCAACGTTTCTACCCTAACTAGATATACAATTTACCACCCACATAGTTACATAGTTGATGATTAATATATTTTTACTACTCCAAAAGGTGATGATGACAGGTGAAAAAAAACTTAATTGTAAAGCTAACTGTTTGAAATATAAAATATTGTTTTCAATCATTGCAGAACAATTATTTATTTGATAATTATGAATTTCAAGGTCAGACATGCAATATAAGATTTTTTATTGTTGTTATATTTTAATATTCCCATTGCAATTAAAATAAAAAATAAAACATAAAATATTATGTTTTGCAAACACCTATTATAATTATTATAATATGTATTATTGTACCTACATACAATACATTAATATAATTTCAATATACTTTATAGGTACTATTAATGTACCTATTTATATAGTATAATAATAATTTAAATACTGTTTTTGATGTGATTTTTTTTTGTTATTATTGTAACATTTGTAAAAGAACATGATACAATTGATGAATATTTAAATGACAGTAGAAATATTATAATAATTTTTTTTTTTCATAAATATGTCCAAATTGATAAATCTACAGTATAAAAATATGTTTGAGCTATGAATCATGCTTGATAACTTTTGGATGAACTTTGGCCTAATGAGAGTCCATCATCTTCACTACTAGTTTTTTTAACAAACGATGGATTTATTAAAATAGCTTCATCCATCATTCGTACTGTACTGCTAAATGATATCTTATTAGTTACCTGAAAAATCATAATTTTAATAATACTATACAATGTGAAATAAATTATTAATATATTTATACTTCATCTAAAATTTTTTTTAGAACACTTGGATCTTCATATTTCTTGGGTGGATCATTGAACATAATTGTACCTTCTTTACGGTTGATTTTGCCATAAATTTCACCAGATTCAATCTAAATTTGTAAATAAATTAAATATTTTACTTAACATTTTTCTTGTTTTAAATACCATGGCCATTAGATGTTCTTCTGCTTCTACTATGTTAGGAAGATTGATTCTTTGTGCTAAATCAGAAATTGACATATTCAAAAAAGTGTTTGTCAATTTATGTATATTCTTCCTGTGCAATGCTTTTACAACCTGTTTTACTAATCCTTTGTTATTGTCTCTATATAAGTTAACAAAAATTCTCAAATGAACTTTATACATTTGTAATTACAAAAATAAAAACAAACCTTAGATAAACATCATGGTATTTGTTGATTGTCCTTTGTAGTTCCTCAGGATCACCACTTTGATAAGCTGGTATTATATCCAAATAAGCTTGACACACAGGTTTGAGCACTCTTTCAATGAGGGCTGGTGATAACTTTGGAAGTGCAGGTACGGTTCCTAAATGTATAATTGAGACCAAAACAAATTTCTTATACGATTCTACCATGATTTGAGACAGCATAGGAAGCAAAGTTGTAAGAGCAATTTCAAAGAATGTAATTGCTCTTGAATAATTCTTCATTGCAGTGTAGATAACACCACCCAAATAGTAGTAACTTAAAAAAAATTTTGGATCAAATGTCACTCCAGGCTGAAAACAAAATTAATTATAAAATTACTTTAATTTTATAAACAAATAAAAATTAAATTATATCAATATTTTAATTTAATTTAATATAATGCATCAGAAGATTTAGTAGGTAAATATAAATTAATATATTTTATGGGATATTTTTTAAATATTATCTATTGACAGTCTAAGACAAGGATCCTCAAACTTTTTTTAAATTTAATTATGATAATCAAATAACTATTAATTTTAAAGGTTAAGATTTAATTTAATACTATAAATTTGAATCAGATTTGGTAATACAAATTTATAAATTTACATACTACATAAAATATTTTGAAGGTCAATAAATTAATTTTTATCATCATTATAAATGTGTACCCGCTCTAAATACAGTGACACTTCCCCCCAATGGCCAGCTCTCAAGTCCAAATGTTCTTTTGGGAACAACTACAAACTAGATTATGTTAATAGCAGAACAATTTCAGTGACCAAAAGTTTCCAGTATTTAGGCAGTATTTTAAAAGTTCAAGACCACAAATTATGTACAAATATTTAAACTGATGATAAAAAAACAAGAAATAACTGTACTAAATCTTAAATTAAAATAATACAAAATTATTTTTAAAAAAAATGTCAGTTAATTTTTTATTAAGATTTGTAATGCTTTATTAGCTCTTTCATTCACTATGCACACAATGCACATATCACCATCAGCGACAGTCAAGTTTTGGCTTAATTTTAAAAAAGGTCCCTACATGCAAAAAATTGTTAAAGAGTTATTGCATCAAACGATTAAAAAGGCCTCTGCCTATTGGTGAAAAAAGCAATGAGATGGCCAACCGGGGAAATTTCTGACTTTTCGGTAGGCCTATCCGTCCATGATTGATGATATTATAGTTACTTACTTATAATTATGTCATCTTAAAAATCATAAAAATAGTTTTTCAGATACATACATTTTTACAGACATAGATGATTTAAGATATTGTTAGCCAATAGATTTCTTGCAATTAAAATTCAGTTGCTAATTTTTGAGTTAAAATTATTTTCTAAACAAAATTTTGTTTTTATAGAGCTATAACACCATTTTACATTTTATTGTGAAACATTAAATAAATAGATTTGCTAATAAACAGTAAAATAAATGAATACTAAAAAATATTGTAATTTTGATTGTTATTCAAAATATTCAGCAGTAGGTAATATACAATCATGTGCAATTCATAAACATAATTCAGAACTTATTAAATATTTTGACCACTTTAAAAAGAATTTATAAAAACTTATTGTTCAAAATTAACGACCTTCCTGCTTATACAGTCAACTTGCTAAATAACGGATAAAATTGTAGTTTGCTTGAAAATTTTGTGATAACATGAAAAATTAAATACATTTTGTTCCCCTCGACATAACAAAGCTTTTTGGCCGAAGCTCTAGTATTAAAACAAATTTTGGTACATTTCTGTTATCTCGACTAATATCCCTAATGTCACGACTACCAGTTAAGACTTTTAAGTTTGTTAATACAGTGAAACCTGTTTTATCCGAACCCTTGATAAACAGAATCCTTTTCTGTGCGGAAATGTATTATGATCCCGGCAGATTTCTATAATTTAACATAGGATTAAACCCTTGATAAAACAGAACCTGTCTAACGTAAAACTATTTATTGGTCCCGAAAATCATATACACGGAAAGGTAACCTTGAAAAGGTTTATGATGTCCACATTTATTTTGCTACTAAACAATTATTAAGGTCAGCGATTAATACCGTATCGACAGATAAGTACATTTTATCTTGAATCTATGCATCAGAGCTTATTATTATCACTGTAGTCGTAATTTACCCGTCGTTTCGTACCGTTGTATTTGCTCTCATAATGTCTTTAAAGATTTGTTAAAGTTTAGGCCTATGATATTTTTTAATATTTGCCGGAAAATGTTACAACCTTAATAGTGCAGAATATTATAACTCTATATTACGGAATTTTCCTTTTTATTCAGTAGAGAGTTGAAGTATAAACCAAAATCATAAATTATCAGTTAAAATATAAGTTACTAAGTCTAAAATTCAATTTTTGAAAATATGTTATCAAATGAATCTTCTTCGATATTTTGTATCCAGATAAGATTACAAATGATGGTATCTGGTTCTCCTACGGTTTTTGTTTATTCGTTTAGAGGTAGTCGAGATAACGGATTCCAGACTAGCGGTAATCAGGATGACGGAAAAGTATCTACTCATATTTTAATGATTATGGAGCTTGATATTTCAAATATATATATATAAATAAATAAATAGTTTGCTACTACAAAGTTTTTCTGATCACTATCATCCAATGATGTGCAAGAATACATTACCACTATTAAAATAAGATTCAAGTCGCTTAGAGTTTAACGGCGATAAATACATTAAAATACATGAGATTGATGACAGTGTGTTGCCTAGTATTTAAAATCTAAACAATCGGCTACACACAAAAAAATGTATAATACAGTATAACTAATTAAGTGTATAAATATATATATATATATTTTTTTTCCATATAGTAATATGATCTTACTATGTATATATTTGTATGTAATTGTAGTGTTGATTTAAATTTTAATAAATCGTATTTTAAAAAATGTTGATATAACAAACTTTCAATAAAAGCATTAAGCTTTTTTCTGGGTCCCTTGAAATTTGTTATATCGCAAGTTGATTGTATAAAGAAATAAGAATCTAAAGCCATTTGATTAATTTGAATGCGCCAAGACGGTGCACTCCTATTTGGTATAAACTCAAAGTATAGTAAATTAAAAAATAATAGGTGATATTCAGTATTGGTAAAATACTTAAAAACGTGTAGAGCAACTAATAACTAATGAGTCTTACCTAAAATTAATAATTATACTACTTACTTCATCAGTTCCCAATACATATATATCCTGATCCAAAAGACTTAGGGCAGGCTTAAGATTATTGGACATTAAACAGGCTTGACATAAAAGACAATGGAGTTGAGTTAATTGATATGGTTTCTCCTGCAATTTACATATAGCACGCCTTATTATAGGGATAGCAGACATAGGTTTCTCCATATCACCAAGGTTAGTCAACATAGATTTCATCACATTAGCCACTATAAAACAAGATCAAAAATGAGATTAAAAAATCTAGACTACACAAAAATAAAATTATAAATTTACTAACATGGTTCAGCCAAAACTCTGAGTTCATCTTCACTGATGGTAGTAACAAAGTCATTAATTTGCGTTGCTATTGCCGTATGATATTGAACTCCTGGTATATCCGGGGGTTTTTGGGCTGTAGCTTTAACACCCAAAACAGTAAGTACTGTGATTGAATTCTCATGAACATCAAGTGCATCAAGAACACTATCTAAATTAGTAACATATTTATGTAGTGTTTCTGATTGTTTGGAAAGATATTCGGTAAGCTCTCGATTTTCACCTGCAAAATAATAATTTACTTTTTATATCAGACAGAAATGTCAATAAAACATGTTATTAAGTAATTATGACAAATAACTATTTTATTAATTAATACGGCAGGCAATTTGTTTGAAAACAGTTCTAAATTTAGAAAATAGGAATATCCTTAAAATATGATTGGTACCAATTTAGGTATCATTGATATTTAAAATTGTTATGGATAATATGTATGTGTAGGTAGGTACCAAATCCGTACTCACCCGAGTTGGCCAAATTTCTGACGGTCAGCACAAACTGGTCAAGTTGAGGGACCACTATGTCGCTGTCCATATTTTGTTCGCAATGGTTGCTTATAAATGTATAGTAATAGTAATTTCACGTCCGTCGTGAAACAATTGATGAATTGAAGCGTTTAACAAAGTGTAAATAATGTGTTTAATGTTTATTTTATAATATAATGTATGTTGTCAGAAACTCGGAACGTCTGCAGTCTCCTATCCTATGATAATATGATTAGATCCATGATAAATGAAATAGGTATGTCAGCAACATAGTGGTTTTGAAACAAATGACGCATCCATCCTCCAGCCAACCCAGCGATGTGACGTGAGAATATCGCCGTTTCTCATTGGTCCGCCGCCGCCGACGACGACTCCCCTGCCACTCAACCTCTCGACATTTGACAAAATGATTACGTCACAGACAAGAGTATCTAGAAGTTGTTGACATACCTATTTCATTTACCATAGATCATAATATTCATTGTTGTCAGTGTGTCACACAAACAAATTTAAAGAAATGAAATGTGCGCCAATTATACCGGGTTGGTTGGTATCGACCACGATATAGTGTAAAAGATAAGGCAGATAACAATCGGCATAAAATAGTAAACATTAAGCACTAAACGGTGCTTTAAGCCTTTAACTGTAAAGTATAAGGTATAAGCTCTAAAGTGTAACCAGTTTTTACTCTTGAGGAATGGGTCGCTCCATTAATTAATAATTATAACTTATAAGTCTCTAGTCTCTTGTATTCATGACAGTTTCATGGTTTAGTTTACACCGCATACCAAGGACAACATCCCTTATCACGTAAGGTAGTAATATTATGGTAAACATATTATGTGATCATGCTTGTTAATTTAGTCTCTAGCTCTTCGACCGACAGAACGTATTTAATTATTACTTATTAGATCACGTCGGGATGTTGGATGTCTAAATGTTCACGACTATACATTTTTTAACATTTTTCTTTCCGCAGATTTCATTAGTTCAGTAAACCGATTATCAAGATGCCCGAAGGTGTTGAAGAAGTTCCTACTATCGGCATTATTTATCCACCGCCAGAAGTAAGGAGTATCCTTTATTCAATGAACTTGATTGTATTAATATTATTTTGAAGTGTTTTTTTTGTTTTGTGTTAATATACTGTTTACATATGGTATCAAAGTTATCTAAATAGATTCTTCTGAGATATACTCGTATGCAATAGTTAATAGCTTACTTATTTTATTGTAAAATATCTTATTGTTAAACTTATCTGGAAAAAAATAAGGGGATAAACCTTTGGACTGGGAAGTCCAGTCTAAGTCATCTTGAATGGGAGCAAGAGTTGAACAGATCTTATTACAAATTTCAGAGATGTTATTACTAGGCTATAATACATAAAAAATGTCTGTAATTCATTGAATAGTTTCTTAACTGCCTCTAAATTAAGATATTGTCGACAAAACTGCCAGTTTTGTAGCACGAAATGGACCAGAATTTGAATCTCGTATTCGTCAAAATGAATTGGGTAATCCCAAATTCAATTTTCTTACCCAAGGCGATCCTTACCATGCATATTATGTACACAAAGTCAAAGACCTCAGGGAAAAAGCTGGTGAGTTTTAATTTTATTAATTGTTTTTTAGTATTGAAATAAGTTATTTATTCATCTATTTTTTTTTTTATTTTGCTTTAGCACAAGAACCAACCTTACCTCCTAAAGAAACAAAGAGCATGTCAACTGCTACCCAACTCAAACAACAGGAGCTCCTGAAACAAGTTCAGGAAGCAATATTTGTACCAAAAGATCCGCCAAAAGAATTTGAATTCATTGCTGATCCTCCATCAATATCAGCTCTTGACTTGTATGTCTTAATAATTATCTCTGCCAATATACATTAACCAATATATTTTGAAATTTTAGAGACATAGTGAAGCTTACAGCATTATTTGTTGCTCGTAATGGCAGACAGTTTTTAACCAATCTAATGGCAAGAGAACAACGTAACTTTCAGTTTGACTTTTTACGTCCCCAACATTCACTATTTCAATATTTCACAAAGCTTCTTGAACAGTACACTAAAGTGTTGATGCCTCCTAAAGATCTTATGAAGTGTTTAAAAGAAGAAAGCTATGATCGACAACAAATTTTAGATGATGTCAAATATCGTTCTGAATGGCAAAAACACCAAGATGCTTTACGTAGAAAAGAAGAACAGCTTATAGAAAAAGAAAGATGTAAGTTTGATTAAGATACTCTAGCTTTTGATAATCTTATAAAATGCATATATTTTTCAGTGGCCTATGCTCAGATTGATTGGCATGATTTCGTTGTTGTTGAAACTGTTGACTTTCAATATGGTGAGATTGGTAATTTTCCTCCACCAACTACGCCGGATCAAGTTGGTGTGCGTACATTGATGCAAGAGCGTGTTGATAATGGAGAAGAAGCTGTTGAAATGAGTGATGCAGAAGACGACATGCAGGTAGACAGTGACGATGAAATGGAAAAACGAGTTAATGGTAGAATGTATGCACCAGAAAGTGAACTTAGAGTGCCTGGTGAAGAAAAGTCCAGTAGAGACAACAACCAGGTAATATCTAAAATTTATATGTATGTAGTAAAATAATTCTTATAACTATATAATTTAAATAAAATAAAGGTTCAAGACATGGATGAATCGTCAAGTGATGATGATGGTGATTTACCACCAGGTGTTTCGAAATCTGATAGTCGTTCAAACCAAATGGCCCAGCCAGCTGTTCCAGAAAAGGTTATTGTGAAGAAAGGATACAATCCTAAACAAAGTAAGATTTAATTTACCTAATATAAAATATGTATATTAGTTGTACTACTAATTGGCTTAATACTTACAGTTGTTCGAGCTCCAGTTAAAGCACCTCCAGAAGAATATTTAATATCTCCAATTACTGGTGAAAAGATACCTGCAAGCAAAGTTCAAGAACATATGAGAATTGGATTATTAGATCCCCGATGGGTAGAACAACGAGATAAGCATATCAGTGATAAAATGAACCAGGAATCTGTGTATGCTCCAGGTAACTACTTTTGACTAAAAAATTGTGTATGGTTTGTTTTTAAAATTATTATTTCATCCATCTAGGAGCTGCTATCGAGGCTAGTTTAAAACAGTTGGCTGAACGCCGTACTGATATATTTGGTGTTGGTGTTGAAGAAACTGCTATTGGTAAAAAAATTGGTGAAGAAGAAAGTAGAAAAGATGATAAGGTGAAATATAGAAATATGTCTTATGCGAAAATGGATTAAAAATAAATTTTGATTTTTTTAGGCTACATGGGATGGGCACACTTCTAGTGTAGAAGCTGCAACTCGTGCAGCACGAGCTAATATTACCCTAGAAGATCAAATTCACCAAATTCATAAAGTTAAAGGTCTAATTCATGACGATGAAAAAGAAAAAATTGGTCCAAAACCTGTATCAGGTACAGTAACTATTTCTCATCCGCCTACTTCTCAAGCCGTTTCTGTACAAATGTCAATGGCTAGTAATATGCAAAATGCTATGATGCAACCACATGCTCCTAACATGATGCAATCGCAACCCATGATGATGGTTCAGCAACAACAACAGATGATGGGTGAGTTGTGACTCAAGTTTTTTTATTGTTCACATCTAAAATTAAGAAACTATTTAACTTTATTTTTACTTATACATATTAGTTATTACGAATATTTAATTCCCTATATTATGTAGTTTATGTTTGCCACTGTGATATGTTTTTTTATGAACCTTGATTTTGGTTGAAACATTATTTTTTTATGCACAAAACATTCTATAAATATTTGCTCTTTGTTATTTATTGGTATTAACATGTTTTTAGTTCCACAACCTCAAGCTTATCAAGTAATGCAGCCCCAGATGCCTCCGAATCCATTTTTGGGAGCTGCTAGAGGAATGATGCAACCTCCATTACCTCAGGGTCCAGTATGTGTACAATCTTTTACCATTAAATAATGAAAAAGGTTTTGTTAATCATCATACTTAAAATTTTTTACTAGCCTGGAATGAAGCACGTAATGGAAATTGCTGAAGATGAACCGCTTATGAAGAAACAGAAGACTGAAGATTCTTTAGAACCTGAAATACAGTTTATGATGAAGTTTAATGTAAATAGTTGAAATTACTTTAAAAAAAATTCTAGGATCATTTACTAATCAATTTTACATTTTAGGGTCCTGTCATGTTTAATGTTGGAACACCTGTTCTTACCGACAAACCAGAATGGGCCCTCAATGGACAGATATTAAATATAACATTACCGCTTCAAGAAACAGTGTCAGTAATTAAGACGAAAATTCATGAGTTAACAGGGATGCCACCTGGCAAACAAAAACTGCAATGTGATGTATGTAAACAAATTTTTTATTATAAAATTATGTGAAAAAGTAATGAATTAAATTGTTTTTAAATAATTTTTCTAGGGATTGTTCTTCAAAGATTCCAATACGTTAGCTTATTATAACATAGGACCTGGTTCAACTATTCATTTGCAATTGAAAGAACGTGGTGGTCGTAAAAAGTAATTGTAAAAAAATGAAAAAAAAATTTTTTACTGTTGTAATATTTGATAACATATAAGATATAAATATATTTATTCATTATTCATTACATAAAATAAAATATATTTTAAGTATCAATAATGTCATAATGTAATGTTCTGTTCATGAATGTGTTTTCTATATTCTAGTTGCAGATAGCACCTCTTTAATAATACTAATGTACTGCTTGAACATTTGAGTAAAAATCTATAAATGGCTATAATAAATTGGTATCATTTTTGTACAAATATGTGTATTTTTGACTTACTTCAAAAGTATCATTATGAGGAGAACAGCTAACCTTGAGGAGCGGCAGTGGTTGACATGTAAACATTCAGCAGATTTGATTAATGATTCAATTAAATTAACTTGTCGTGGAGGGTCACAAACAAATGAATAAGTTGACTCATGATTCTTGTGATCAATTCATTCAGTGAGTAGTCTGAACCAGTTCATTTAATTGAAAATAGAATCACTGAATCAATTCACCAAAGTAAATATGTCCCATCTAGACTGCTCAACAATGCTTATTCAATTAGTACATCTTAAGGTTAAAAAATGTATTATTGTACTGATATTAACGTATGTATGTTTTTGAAACTGCCTACAAAACAAAAAATATTACAAATGACTATGTTGTTGAACATATAATTAAAAGCATTAAACCATATTTAACATTTTTAGTTGCATCTTAATTTTATTGGAAATGTATATCACTTGTATCATGTGTTTTTATAACAACATTGTATGGTCATTTGTATATAAAAGCACAAAATAAATGCACACATATACACTTATAAATATTACATTTCAAACCTAAATTAACTATTTTTCAAACATTCAAATATTTTATTCATCTTAGTTTTCATAAGACTTAGGTAGGTATGTGATTTACTAGTTATAAGTTGTTAGTTAAATTTAACAACTTTTTTAGCATTAATTCATTCAGCTTTATTCAACCCGAAAGTTTGACTACCTTTTTTTGAGGGGCTTACATATTTTACTTTTTTGTATTAAAATTAAAATGTATTGTAACAGACAATTTGCTACCCGGGTGACTAACACATATTTAATTCCTGAGTGCGCAGCGCAAAAAATACGCTAACACAAATGACGATGGTATAACTAGGTCACAGAATAAAATAACATGTTTAATTATATTTCGTTTTGATAAAATAAAATCTGATTTTGAAAATGTTCAATATATGTGTTCTTTATACGCCCAATGATTATTATATGCATCATGTTGGTACTTACGTAATTTAATGACCAAAAAATATGAAAAAAATGTTTTTACTTTTATTTAGCCCCCAAGTATAACAAAAACCAAAAAAAAATTTTCATCTCTGGGCCTGAAAGGGTTAAATAATTTAATAGGTAAAAATAGTGTTGTACATAGGTACTAGTCAATAGTCATACTACAGTTGTAGTACAATATACGGGAGTTTGTATGTCTCGCAACAATGTTTTTTTTTTTAGTATATATAAAAGTTTAGTTACATATGTGGTCATTATGATTTTTTTTTTCTATAATCGTCAATAAAATTGTATTTGTTGGACAAAAAAGCTTAAAATTTTAATACGATGCTCCTGAAATATATTTACAATATTAGTTGAAAACAATTTAAAATAAATAGGTATAATTTTTTTATAAGTATTTAAAGTTCAAATGTTGACAAAATTCATATAATTTAAAATGTACAAATAATTTTATAATTAAAAATTTTTAAAATGTTCAACTTTCATAACTTAGGGTTAAAAATGTAAAACAAAGTTTCAAGCAAATAGGTTATTCTGTAATCAAAAAATATATTAACACAGTTTTCTTATGTTCAAATGTGAACGAAATTACCTAACTTATTCAATAACCAAAAACAATAATTTATGTTTTTTGTTATAAATTAAAAATATTATTCGTTGGTACTTGAAAGTTGAAACTTTTAAAGTACCTATATTATTGTATTTTTAATTTTATACCCACAATGACTTTTCAAATGTATTTTTTTTTAATGAATTTAATCTACTACGTAGTACTTATGCTTACTAGTAAAATAAATTACTTAAATAACAATAATATCATCAAACATACTAAATTATTAAGTAATATTATTGACTGACTCAGTATCGTTTTTCGTATTCAATGATTTTTTTTCGTTGAATTCAAACTGAACAAAATCCATTAGTGACTAAATTGTAAAATACTGTACAGTAGAGCGACCTCCACATAATTGGTTTTTTAAATTTAATTTTCAATAAACATTTTTAACTTAACTGATTGCTATAAATTTATTAACTAACGAGTTGCGATTAATCAAATCCAAGTTGCATAGTTTGTTTATAAAATGTAAGTATTAAATATAATACAAATTATTATGGATGATGAATATTGTATAAAAATTTACTTTTTATTTATTTAAACCAAATTACTGGTTATTTTTGTACAAAGTCGGGAAAGAGATTGAGTGTTACGAGAAAAAAACTTGATTATATTAATTGGCGAAATCCTATTTACAGGTTAATTATTAATTATTTATCGATTGCATCGACCACCGTACATCGACGATGAGGCGAAGAGGGTTGCCCAAGCAGTCCGGTGATGCTTGTCGCGAAAACCGATTGGGAAAAGACAAAATATGTATAGGTACGTATTATAACATATCTATTTGCTCACCGTAAATTACAGTTTGCGGTGGAATTTCGACTGTTGCACTAACCTAACCTAACCCTTTGAAGTATGATGGATTGTTACATCTATAAAATATATACAACTGTTAGTACAAAGTAGAGAAAACAGTTGCAGTTTGTCATAATTGTGTACTACTCTGTATGTAACATTTGTATTGATATTTGATGTACATACAAAATATGTACTTGGAAGGACAATGTTATAGACTTATAAATTTAAATATTTGTAAACAGTAAGTCAGTAAATCAATACCACAAAATATATCAGATAATACATGAGCAATTTTTGAAGAATCTACAAGAATATAAGATTATATTGCGACTATTGCGAGTCTTGATTTGAAGACAATTCGTTATAATATGAAATTCAATAGGTGTAGATGAAATGTCAGTATTTTAAAAATATATAAAAATTAGTTTTACATAATAATATTATAAAATATAGTTGCAGAATCTCTATTTATATTGTTCAGGTATGTCATAATAGTCGCTCGACTGAAAAAAGTATTTATAGATATATTAGTGAATTATATTATAGAGCTCATCTTAACTAGACAAGTAGTAAATTGGCCCATAGCGAAAATAATTCTTATACACACTACCGATAATATAATTGTGTGATATTGATATAAAAATTGAATCAGCAAAAGTTAATAGAATTTAAAATGAAATTAAAAACAAATTTAAGGCTATAGGTACTTGAGTAAATATTGGATTTCATACGATGTTAACAATTATGAACATTTTAATAAATGGCGAAAAAGTTTCAAGTGAGGGGTTTCCTGATGACTTCAGTGCTGACGATTTGGCTCATTTCAAATTTGCTCCAATCACATCAGTGGACGTGGAGATAAGTTTTTCTAAGTATAAATATTTACCATCCGATAATCGTCGTTCATTTAATTTATAGTATAATGCAATAGTTGAGTAATTTGTAAGCTTTTAATTTGAATTTTATACATTAAAAAAAAATTATTATATTAATTTTAATTGTTTTAAAGTCATCGACTTGATAGGCCTAATAATTACACTTATTACATAATGAAAAGGTACTTATAGCAAATAGTAAAATAACATATTTTTATTTTTATCTAAAATCAATAATAAATAATATAATACCTACAGTATAGTATGCATGGTACCAAATTATTAAATTTGAACTCAAAAATTCTCATTTAATTTTTCATATTTTATAAACACTACAAAATAGTATATCTTAAAATAGACACTACAATACGCCTTACAATGCGGAATTTAGAAATCTTACACTCAGAAGTTCAACATGTAGCTTTGTTAGTTTAAAAACTAAAGTGAATTATCTTTTTATGAAACTTATGAGGTAATAATGCATTATCTATGTACTATGTTCCTATGTCAGTATTTTACGATACCTAATTCAGTTTTTAAGAGGGTTAAATATTAATATTACGTAAAATGTATGTGACAACTGTATCAAATAACGTGAAAGTACGTGATGGTTACTTTTATAAATGCGATTTAGCCATTTGGATTTGGGTATTGTTTGCTCTATGAATTTATAATATGAATTATTCAACTAAAAAAAGGTAACTTTTAGGGATAAGCCTTAAACATCTTTTGGTTAGCAATAAAAATGCATATTCTGTCGAGTGAATTATATTATATTAATATTTATAGGTAGGTCGTAGGTAGCTATTGTATAACACATTTAATCAATAAATAATATTTAATTAGTAATAATTAATTCCTTAATAGAGTTTAATATGATTATTCAAAAAAAATGCTCCAAAATTACGTCTTCGGATTCTAAATCCTGTGGTAGGTGTCCAACTTCAAGAATTTTGTAACGTTTTTTTTGTGATGCTGCAAAATAATAATTAATATTATATAATATTTTTATAAGGCCAGAGAACATTAATAATTCTAATTTTTTCCTATAAAATGTTGTTTATGTATTCAATAGTTATAATTATATTTAACAGTTAGAGAATAAATTAGGTAATAATAGCTGATGAATGATGATTATGACTACCTATGTTGCATAACATAAAGTTACTTTTTAATTTCTAAAAATAATAATTTATAATAATATACTTGCTTAGAATGTTTTGGCTTTCTTTCACAGTTCGAACAAACAAACCCAATGAATAGAATACAAATGTTACGATGGCCATCAAAATAAAATACATGCAAAACGTATCATATAATAAAAACAAAACATTTCTACTAAACGGACAACTTTCAGTTCTATCGAATAAATGCAAAACACATTAATTATAATTGCTATTATATTTCATTGTAAATTTTTATCTATTCTTACTGCAGAATCTTCTGTGATCGGGACGAAACTGTAGCTTTATTTCTTTGTGTTGTAGTGTTTTGAAGAAAACTATTATTTAATTCAATACTTAATTGAGTAAAAACTGTGTCCGACAACCATTCGGCTAATTTTTCATGATCTATTTTTCTTAAACAGTTAGCTATACTGAGAAAACTTTTTTCCTTTCCAGCACTGTTATTCCACGTCATTAGTAACGACAAACAAGTTTCGTCCAAGGGCAAGTCTTGTTCTGCAGAGAAATACATTTACTATTTTAAGAGAAATTAAAAATATTGTATTATTATTATTATTATTATATTTTTTTTTATTTCGCATTGTTAACTATAATAGGTAGTAATCAGTTGGTACTTATTGAAAAATCATACAGAAAAATACCAGGATACCACTATGTTTATTAATTTTTAATGATAACATAAATATTAATGTTTATTTTCATGTACTTATTGTTTCATTCTCCCGAGCCTAAATATAATATATTTATACTATCATAGTACATAAGTTTTTTCTTATATGTTTGATACAATACTTCACACTTATTAAATCAATTAAAAAAAATATATCACAATCCAAACAATTATATGTATAACTATACTTATTATTCGCTATAATCATTGCAATTACTGCGATTTATCAATATACAATCTGTATTTGATTACCATAATGATATTTGCAAGCATATTTAATGGACTGGTAGAATAAGCATGGATTTTTACTTAACCATAAAACTATTGTTTTTGTATAATAGGTACTTTACAATATATTTTAACATTATTTGTATTCAAAAAACTAAAGAAATTATTAAATTATCCACGGACCACGGTCAACGATTTGATGATTGTTTACCAAGTTCTTTGGCTGCCGTTGGTTCAAGGCCCTCTGCATACAAATAAGCAGTGAGTTTTACACATTCTTGAGGAGTCAAATGGTTTACCAAATACATGAACATGGACAGGTTTACATCTTGCGTGGAGATGATATTCGACACAAACATGGAGATGAGTACGAGTGAGACACATTTTAATTCGTACATATTATAATGGAATTATGTTTTCGAACGACTTTTCAAACAAAGAAAAAATCTTACCAACTGTAAATAGTTTTTACGGTAGTCGTATAAAATATTATATACTTGGGAAATAGGTAAGTAGGTAGATACTTAAATTATCGTCCCACAAAATATTGTTTGGTGACAACAAATGGAAATTAATATAATATTATGTAGTATATTGGTCCATAGAAACGGTCGCATTGTTCATGCGGTGTGGTCATCTATATAATATATATATATATACATACATATAAGGATAATATTATATATATTATTCTTATATATAAAAAAAGACAGGCCTTTTTTATGTACCTACCCATTTTGTGACTATGCTATTTAACTTTTTTCCAATTTTTTTCACAGAATATTGTTCTAAATACCTTCCTAAGTGTCACCACGTCGCCCAATTTTCAACAATTTGATTTTAAAGGGATGAAATTGGTAAACATAATTTCTTACGTGTAATTTGTATACCTATATTCATATAATAATAACAACAGCAGTCGACCGATAACGGGAAATACGGTATGGCATTGCAGCCCAAAGGTTTCCATCTACCTGGACTCTTTTTTTGTGTGTGTATTTTATCGGCGTGTAGTTTGCATTGATCAGTGTTTTCGACATGACACTACGACAGTTAATTTGTCTACTGACGATCGCAATGGTTGCAACGGTTGCAACCGCTAAATTGATGACGTAGGAATACTTGCCGAAATTATCAACTACAAACTAACTTAACATTTTATTAAGTTAAGAGTTATATGGAAAATGGAAAACACCGAATAGCTTAATTATACAAATTGTGTTATCGCGAAAAATAATAATACTTTTACACAATATGTGTATAGAATCATTAGAATTATTTGTAAATATCATTATTATTATTTTTTATTTTATTTATAATTCAGCTATCACTATTGGTTAGCACTTGATAGCATAAAGTAAAATACATTTTTTTCTTATTTAAAACACACACAACAATGTGTGTTGATTGAAGAATTTCATTTTGAGAAAGCAAAACTACACACGGGCGAAGTCGGGTAATTCAGCTATATATTGTACATGTAAATGTTATAGAGTACCTACCTATGTATTATAGGTACATGATTATGAAGAAACAACGGGCATGCCTGTTCTCACAAAACCGTTTAAATAGTTTTTTAACGAATAAATATTATATATGTAATGGAAATTTTAACAATGATTATGACATTACGTTTATTTCAACAAAATGACAATTTATATAGGTAATATGTACAGACTACAGTCGAGTCCACTAACCCGATGGCAAACTACATAATATTTAATAATAATAATAGTAATTATAATAATAATAATAATAATAATAATAATATAACAATAAACAAAGTATGTACAGTCGTCTCCCGGGACTAGACGGTGTTCAAGGGGAATTCGAAAGAAAAGTCCTAGCATTTTCAGTTGACTTTGCGGATCTGCTGCAGTCTTTTTGCGCGTTCCCAGTAGTCATGGCGACTGTTTTATTTCTTCTTGCCTGTGTAGTCGGTGTTAGGCACTCCCAGGCTGGTCTTGAACGTCTCGTCGGCTGTCAATGACGGGTAACCCGCACTGGAACCTAAATCACCTTCCTGGTCGATCACGCCGTGATCGTGCAGGTGATGGACGTCATCATCGTGGTTATGGTGATGGATATCGGTGGCACCGACGTCACGTTGCTCTTGAAGGTACGAATATTCGTCTTGGAGTGTCTGCTGCTGTGCCACCGCTTCGTTCACATCGTAGTTTCCGCCGGTTGCTCTAAAAGCCGCAAGCTGCTGCAGATAAGACGACGGCGCCTCAACCGGGTACGCCCCCTGGTACGACGATGGTCCCTGGTAAGCAGCCGATCCCTGTAGTAACGATGACTGTGCCTGGTAAGACGACTGTCCCTGGTAAGCAGACTGTCCCTGGTAAGCCACCGCGCCGCGATAGTGTGGAGCGTAAGCGTGCGAGTGATAAGATGGAGCCGGATACCTGACGAGCGGTACGCGAGCTGTCGGAAGTCTGGTGACGTAATGTACGGAGGTGGAAGCTGGCCTGGCCACCGAGGCCACTGGAAGCGGGCGGTACACGGGCACCGGGTACGGTTTGTACACCGTCACCGGGTACGGCTGGGCCACTGGCACGGCGACGGGCTTAATGACGGCCACCGGGTAGGGTCGGTTGACAGCCACTGGGTACGGCCGAGGAACTTCGACGGCCACGGGTCGGACTACAGGCACCGGGACAGGGTGAGCGACTGGAACCGGAACTGGTTTGTGGACGACCGTGGTGGCCGTTGGATACGTGTGAACCACAGACTGGTAGACGACAGGCTGGTGTTTGAACCCGTGAACAGTGGTCTCGTGATGGTGATAGTGTGCCGGTGCGTATCCGTGACTGTGATAAAGTGCCGGTGAGTATCCGTGGCTGTGATAATGTGCCGGTGCGTAGCTGTGACCGTGATAGTGTGCCGGTGCTGCGTAGCTGTGAGCGTGGTAGTGGGCTGCCGCGGGGGCGTAGTGGCCGTGGTAGGTGGCCGCGGCCGCGCCGTAGTGAGTGTGGTATGCTGGTGCGTACAGTCCATGATACTCTCCAAAGCTTCTCCTGTTGGCCGCTGGTGCTTTGTCGGTCGAATCGCTGTCCTCTGCCGGTTCGCACCTCGTCGAACCAATAACGGTTACCGCGCACACCGCGTAACAGAACACCTGAAAGGAGAACAATATCTGTTTTCATCACAATTATTCTGCACAAATAATGTATACCAGTGGTCGGCTATCGACGCACCTCGAAACTATTCTATACGACAGTCAATCATTTTTTTAAAATAAGACTTAAAGTTAAAATTTAGATTTAAGTTTTTGTCTGACACGGCCCATGAATTTTTTTAAATTATTGTATGTGGTCCTAGAGTCCAAAAGGTTGCCGATAACTGATTTCTATACCAAATGACTGTCTGAGGACACATTGTATCACCAATGTCACGTGTGTCATATTGAGGAACTTATTATTGAGTTGTATCATAATTATATAGGTACTAATATATTATAAATAGATTAATTAAGTTCATTAGGTATTAAATTATAGTTTATCTTTTAGGTAATTATCAAGCACTTTTTTACTTGTCTACTTATAATACTTGTTAAGTTCAAGAAAAATATGTTACCCTACTTTTAATCACAATAATTTCTAATTTTTTGTATCGACATTTAGTTCAAGTAGAAAAAGTTGACAGAAAATCAGAATATCAAATATATAAAGCCAATTGTAAACAATTTAAGGTTAAATTAAAAATATAATTCATATATACTATGTTTATTAATTACTATAGGTACTTGTCAATGAAAAAAGGGTAATGTCAAAAAAATGACAGGGGTAAGCAACTTAAAAGAATTTAGGGTTAAAATTGTTTGTAGAATAAACGCGAACTCGAACGATAGAATTAAATGTAAATAGGCAGATAGGTAAGTAAATCGTGTATAAAATATTACCTATATAATGATATAATGATGGTGAATACCACAAGACGTAAAGTGCAATCAAAGTGCAATCAAAATATCAATGAAAAAAGATAATAACTATTGTGTTAAGTAGCTATAATTCATATTTTGATGATAATGCGATGTTAAATTTGAAAAAATGTCATTAAATTCGACATACAATCTCGGGAGCTACAATTTTCGTCCGAATTATTATCAAGCAACAATAAGTCCGTTGACCGTTGTAGTTCATATTAAAATAGGTAGCCAGACAGGTATATCATACTATTGTATTATGTCGGATACCCGATGCCTAGCAATGCCTAGCACTTGGGTGTACACTGTACCTCCTTCGAAAACAAGCAGTGTTCCTATGTAATTATGTATAGTATAATATCACAATATACTTACTGAAAACGACTTCATGGCTTCGTCTCGTCTGGTTTTTTTTGGTGCACTAGCTTGAAGAAAGACGAATCGAATGAATGACAGGACAACCGTAGTTTCAGTTTTATATACTCAGGCGTGGACATATCGATTGGCTTTCACTGGATTAGATTTTTGGACTGGAAAGTTCGGCGGGTACTGGCCGTGAATAGGAAATGAAGCTCGGTGCAGGAAGAACGAAACGAATCGGAACAGAAATGTACGTTATCGTTATGTCACGAGGACGCGCCGTCATATGAATCGACAATACCAATAATCGGATATAAGATTGTTATGACGATAATCTAATATCATAATAATAAATAATGCATCGTAAGTGCCAAAATATGTGTTAACTTTACGATCGCCGTATTTCTTATTATAGATAGTTCACGTATAATTCGAAAGAATTGCGCGAAAGTGAAAACGATACACGCCATATACTATTGTTTTCGTAATATTATTTATTTTATAATCTTAACGGTTCAAATGTAGGTAAAATAATATATGACCACTGACCAGCCCTAGTATTAAGAACACTAAAATAACGGACAATTTTCCGTTGTTGGTTAAAGGAATTGAATTGACGTCGACATTGAAAATCATTTGTTATTTTTGTTTTCTAAACAATTAATAATTATAATTTCCTTCTGAGTTGAGGTGTTGATGAAAAGGAGCTGAACTTAATAATATAATATATAGGTTCCTGAAAGCATCAAATCTGTAAAAATGGAGCCAGTCTAAAATATAAATAATGAGGGGCTCAGTCACACTGTTTATTTTCTTACATCATAAGAATAGAAGTTTGATAAACTAAACGCATAATATTGTTGAATTATTTATATTTATTGAAAAAAAAAATAGTTATAGCTAAACAAATCTGTTATTTTTCAACGTCTATCTTGTGCTCGTATAAGTTATATGCAAAAATAATAGTTCATGATAAACGAATAAAATAAAATATAAATAAAATAAATTCAATTTTACCATGACTTAATTTTTCTTATGCTATATTATATATTATTAGCAGTCAATTTTCCCTGTGTTTATTTATAATTTACTAGTTTTACTGGTGTAAGGTAGGTAAGCACCCGTCCTGTGCTAATGGCTTTTACTTATTTGTAATTGATATTGTCATCCATAAGATTAGTCTTAACGTCTTATAAAGTATCAAACATAATAATAGTTTATAATATTATTATAATAATATAATATACTTATAATATATCATATATTATTTGTATATTTGTGTATTATACAAATTGTGTAGGTATAAATATTTACATTTATTCATAAAGCCCTTTAATTTGCTATGATTTATTTTCTTATTTTTTCAACATAACCAACAATGAAAAATGTTTTCAATGAGAATATATTATGAGAGTCACCAGTTACTAAAAACATAATGATAAAAAAAAGCGGGTAAGTGGATGTCGCTCTGCTGTACATTAAGTGTGTAGGAGGTCGCTGTAATGGATGATATTCAATTTGAATTCAATGATATCATATCGTTGTATACGAAAAACGATTCTGAGCTGAGACGGTATGTCAGTCTAGGATTATTTATATTGTTTTTACTTATTATTAATATGGTAGCTGGTAAGTTGAATTAATATTATTTTTAAATTAACAGTGATGCTAGAAAAATATTAAATATACCTATGTAAAATTGGGCTGTTTTGGAATCGAATCAAAACAAAATGATTAACGTTATTCTTTGTGTTAATATTGAATTTTGTCCGAATTTTGACTTATAATGTCTGTAAAAAATAACTGTATTTGTATATTTTTATGATTTTTTAGCTATGGAAAAAACTGCTGAACTGGAACCTTGTTTTAAATTTTAAACTTTCGAACATTTTGTTAACATAACTTTCGAAGAATGATTTTTGCGTAAAAATTCCCGTTTTTCCTTAATTTTTTGTTTGTTTTTCCTGTTGTTTTTGAAAATTATTGGGAATTTTAAATTTTGACCTCCCGAATGCACCATCTAGATTCACTTTCCTACTAGAAAAGTTGCTGTTGAAGAAAATCGAAGCACTTTTAATGCAAGAAACCGTGTTGACAGATACAAAAAAATAAGTAAATAAATAAATAAATATAAAATCACATCATTGTAAAATCAATACATTCATCGTTCCGCTCAGAATCTAAAATGAAAATAGCTATTATAATTTTTGAATTTGAAATAGACCAATAGGTAATGTAAGTTTTAAATTGTACAAGTAGGTCGTGACCTATGGGTAAGTACTGGGTTTATAAATATAAAATTAATAATTAATAATAAATATAATTTTCTAATAAGATACACACTTGTTAGTTGTTTTGCTTATTTTTTTAAAAGTTTTATACCTACCATTATTATCTATATTAGTATAAACGAAAATTGATTAAAAAAAATGACCAGACTGGACAAGTTTTTTGTCGATATAGTAATAACGAATGAATAATAATGTTTTATTTTTATTTTTTGTCCGTGTAAAGAATTTAAAAAAAAATGAAGTTATAATACTTCTCACGTGTTACAGATCTATATCATCTACATACAAAATTATACTGTGTGAATAACTAATTGCATTATAATTAAATGTTTTACCCAACTATGGATATTGTTTATTCTGCAATTTTAATTCTTCATATTTCACACAATAGTACTAATTTTGTCTATAACTATACGCCTTTTCGATTGATAAAAGTCATTTTTAAAATAAAATTGTTTAGAATTAATTTAACATATCATAGTATTATAGTATTATTTTTAATGGACCTATACTTAATTGTTCATATTGATTGATAATATTATTATTGTATTATTATTTATTAATTAAATAATATATATGCAATTTATGTACTTATTTTTCTTTTTATTAAAGAAAAAGCCTCTATAGCGTGACCATTGGCTTGTTTTTTACACTAACCTACTTATAATTTGATTTTTTTGATACATTTTCTAATGACTTTTTCTAATTATCAATATTATTTTAATATTACGTAGACAGAAATGTTAGATTATATTAAATAGGAATGTAAATAATATGTGGAATAATTTGTAGTTTGTTTATATAAATAGTATGATATAGGTACATATTTATTCAAAAATTAAATTTATGACTATATGAAATTATCTGCTAATTATATCCACTCGTATATCTACGAAAGTATTATATTATTAAGGTCCAAAGTAATATTTGTCAGTCCTTATAAATTATCAGTTACTATTGAACTGAAAACGCAGATTGATTTCGGCAGCGACCAAGGAATGGGCACATCTGTTACTAATATTTATTGTTGTGTAATAACTAATAATTAATAAGGATATATAAAATGAAAACAAAATACATTTTGAACCAAAACATACCTATAATACTTGCAGGGTTCTTCTAGAAAAATTACTTTATTTCCTTGTAGATCATAAGCAACAGTACGTTGTACGAATTGAACCTATAATATTACCACAATATCGGCTACTTGAATAATTAAGTCGATTGTATTTGTATAATATAATTATTAATAATCATTACTTAGTGTTAAAATATATTTATTTGAAATGATTATTATACACAATATTATATTATGTTTTCTCGCTTGTTAATAATTGTTAACTAACCGTTTAATATTAATATATTATTTATTTATTCCATACATGTCTGATTTAGAAAAGTGACAGTATTTTAGCTACAAAGAAATACCATAAAGAGGTTCTAACTTCTTTATTCGAAAAATGTGTTCAGAAATTTAGAATCGTTTTCGTTATTATCGTCTCCAGTTTTTTCTAAATCCTGATTATGAACGTATAATGACTAAAACGATAAACATTTTTAAAAAATAATGATAAAGTACCACTGACGAATCCAATCACAAGAGTGTATATTATTATGTTATTAAAATACAAAATATTATTTTTATTATGAAATCATTTAATATGGGCTTACAGAAATATAGAATATTCTTGTTATTGGAGGACATGGGAAAATATTATAAGTATATCAATCGAACGTCCGGCCCTGCTCCATTTTTCGATGCGTGCGGACTGTGTCGTTGTTATTATGATTATTTTTTCATCATCACTATCGTTGTCATTATTATTATTATTACCATTTATCATTGCGCTCTCCTGCACGTCTGCGTTGCTATTCTCAAAGACCTGCATAGCAGCGTAGGTAGGCACGTGTCATTATCGCGGTGTACGGAGGGTGTGTATACAGTTATAATTGCGTCGAAAAGTCGTGTACGCACACACACACACACACACACACACACACACACACACACACACACACACACACACACAAATAATATCAATTATTATTGTTAATGTATTAAATATTTTATAGGCACAGCAATTATTGTGTACAGCTAGATATAGGAGCATAAGACGCGTTCACGTAAATATTGCAATGTTTTTCGTTCGACCGCGCGCATAACAAAGAATTTTTTCCACTTAGCATAATAATTATTATATACAATACAGATACATTAAACACGCGAACGTCCTTTCGATATGTGCAAGGACGACGATTATAATATATACGTACACAATGCGTATATTGTTATCGTATAATAAGTACTCGCGTATATATACCGGTACTAAATCCGAAATCATATCGCTTTGGGAAGTCACGTTTTCATTTCGTTTGTTAAATTTTTTTTATTTATTTCAAATTTCGGATTACAAACGGTTTTCTAATCATACATTCATGCTTATTGCAGCCGAAAACACGACACATAGGAACACTGATAATAATGATACCTAATAATAGTAACGACGACTTGGTGCAACGGCCGACGCGCCAGTATTGTGACTATCCTACCGTCGACGGGGCCGTGACCGACTATTAAAAATATATAAACGCTCGATCCTAGGGAACCAGTGTAGGATTAACAGTGCTGCAGTACTCCAATTATCGCGGAGAGTTGCTGCAGAAGAGTGCGAAACTCGTTCGGCAATGATATCGTGGTGGCATTGTGTAGCAATTTTATCGCCCTTGTGAGGTTTTGAAACAGTTTGCAGTGTGCATAGTGTATACAACTGTAGATACATAGGTGTACATCATAACACTGAGTACAATATGCCGGTTATAGTTTCAGGTGATTCATCATATAGCTTAATATGCTATATATAATTTATTACATCCATTAACATTAATTGAGTATTTATTTTAATAATAATTTTTTTTAATCCTCTGCAACTGTCTATACTTAAAGATCATATTTTCAAATACTTATATATTTCTTATGCTATTGGTACGAGTGTTCTGTGACGGAGATACAAACTTATTTTTTTCTAATCAAAATCACTCTTTTAATCAGACAATCGTTTTAAATATTGATGCATCTAAATCGAAATTCAAAAATTCAATCGAGTAGGTAGATGAGTTATTACGTACCTATTTAGTGCTAAAGATAATAATCCACAATAATAGGCTTAGAAAATATGGAGGCTATAATATTATGATTTTAATTAAAATTTAAATGTACCTACTTAAAAATTAAAAAAATCATAATTGAAATGCATAGGTATTCAGGCACATATTTAGGAAGGGGGGGGGTAGTGCAGCCTGTAATCTATGTATCTCTTCATAATATTTTAAGGAAATCTTATGTTGTGTACTAAGAAATTATTGTTACAATGATTAATTGGTAATTACTAATTAATAGTTGGACTTATTATATGTATTTATATTTAAACACATGTGTGGATGTGCATTAAATTTGGCTGCCTGTGTTTTATGAAAGAAAAGTAATATAATAATAAACACGTGTTTGCGAGCGCAGAAAGCCGTTTTTTTTCAGTTACCCACTTGTTTAAGCTGGTCAAAGCTTTTGCTCCGTCTATTAAAAACTGAAATTACGCTCTGCTGTGTATACATCTATACATCATAATATACTTACAAATGCATAACAATATTTTCATAAAAACATTCTTGAGCATGTGTACATTTTATAAATTATTTCTATTTATTATTATTTTATTATTAATAATTGTATACATATTTTTTCAAATAAAAAGATTGTATGTAGTTTGTCATTTTAAGGGGCCACTTTTTACTGACAAAATGCTGTGGGTCGGCTGACCTTCAAACCCTCCCCTGGGTCTACCCTTGCTGTACATGTTAAATGTTACTCCTAATGCGTCTGGTAAGAAAATCCAATCATGTCACTTTTTTCAAAACAATATTCAAGATGGTGGATGACGCAGCCATTGAACTATAATATTATAGTACATATCTAATAAATCGATCAGATGAAATGAAATGTGATAATTATTGTAGGTACTTTGTCGGCAGAGTATATTCTATACTAATAAGTAATTTTTTAATACGATTATAGTATAATGTAACGACAATATTATATTATTATACTATACACGTAACTCAGTAAGTGGCGTAAACACATAACTTCTGTATGGGGAGGGAGGTCAGAATGGTCAGATCTATGGAAAGCAACCTAACCTATGATCTATTATTCATTCAAACAATGTACTTATAAGTTATGTTATTAATTTAGGAACGTCAAAAACATAATATATATACTTGAAGATTTTAGAAACAATAGTAATAGGTACTTAAAAAATATTATAAATGTGTTGGCGGTGGTCACAAACTTCAGATTTATATTGTACCTATCAATGTACAATGTACATAGTGTTAGTATAGAATGTATTAGATATAACTATGTAGTATGTATTTATGTATATAAATAAATATTATACTTATTAGTAGGTACTTTTATATATTGTTCAGTATGTTTACTAAATAAGTCATATTAACTGCTTTTTGAAATATCTGATTTACATATAATAACATTAGTGATTACACTAAACCTATATTTTTTTCTGCAGTTAATTATAATAGGTATATCCTTCAATCCTTGTCTTATACAACAGTATAATTGCTCTATCTTAACTTGCCATACAAAATATATAAAAATATAAAATATACGTATATATGTACATATAAAAATAATTATTAACTATTGAAAAACAACTTTAAAGTACACGTTAATAGTATAGAATATGTTATAAGACGTGTATAATTATGTATAAAAAAAATTTAATATAGTCCAATGAATACTGAGAAGATTGACCATATTTTAATGATTGGACAACTTAAAACTTATTATGTTATACAATATATGTATCACATGTAACCGGCATATTATAAATGTCTAACTATTTTCAAATTTTTCTGAAAATAATATAATACTCAGCAATATGAACATTTTGTAATATAATTTTAATTTTATTTCGTCATAGGTAGTTTAGTAGTCATACATAGGACATACTATTACATAATATTACGTACAACTTAATATTATTAACAGTACAGATAATAAAATTAGTCATTTATTACAATGTCATGATACACCTTTTCTTAACATGTTTCCATACACTCATACACATGTGTATGTCTGCAGATGTAAAAAGAACGAATTAAACAAAAGTGGACAAGTATGGGTAACTGTTCTATTGTAAAGTAGAAGCCGAGTGTATACCTCGTCATTATCGATGATAAATTATTGTCATATTGTACTTTCAGTTTAATAATCCGTCTATATTACCAATTAAGAATATTTTTTTATTTATTATTTATGATTATATGATTACATATTTTTATTTAGTAATATCTGTCCCTGTTCGCTTCGCACAACCGCTCCCAGGAATAAATACTCCTGGGTTAGGTACTCCCCTCTGCTATACTATTACTATCAGTCGAAATATATATAAATCTAATATTACAAAAAGTTATAATGATAAATAACGGCAGACGATTATTATTACTCATCTATTCGACCAAAAATACAATTATTTCTATTATTTGCATCATTATTAAAATAATTTTTTATTACATTTTTATAGTAAATAAATATACCTTTATAAGATATCTTTAATCGTGGTGATACCAAGACAATATTTTAAGGTAGAAGTTCACAAACTTCCTACGGTATGACCCATTTTGAAGACTCAAAACATACCAATGACCGTTTTTTGTTGTTGTTTCATTGATGATCGTTATCTTTGAGACAACTTTTATTACGGCAGCGTTGTGGTGACACAGTGTCACTGGTACACTAGTATTCCTCGTGGTAAATGATAAAACAATTCAATAATCAGATATGGAAACTTACTAAACTACATAAATATCAAAGTAATAAATGAATAGTATATTTACATTGGAATTCTGTATCATTTACTCACATTTTATTCTTAAAATAAGTATTTTATTTTTTGTATATTATATTTTATAGTTATCTATCTAATATTAAATATGTTAAAAAAATTAATGTTTATTTTAAAATTTTCCTCGACCCATAGTACTATAAGTCTATTAGGTATCATAACCAACAAGTTACAGTTATTGAACCCCAATTTTTTTAACTTAAATTCTATCTTTTCTATTTATCAGACCCTTTAGGCTATAATTATAATCAATCCATTTAAATAATTAAAAATAAATGTTCAAATAACCATCTAAAAGTATAAAACAGTAAATAATATTTAATTTAAGTTTCTTTCGTGCATATAAGTTCCACAAAGGTACATTTACAGAACTATCATAATACTGGCCATGTTTGGTATCGGTAGTTCAAATTAAATTAAGGAATCAGTCATTAAGGTAGATAAAGTTGGATAATTAGTTAATCCTGTATCAAAAACTCTAAAAACTGTTCATATATATTTATATCATCATAGTCAATATGTCGACACACAATGACACTTGCTCTATACACGAATTGTCTCTCTCAAAACATAATCCAAAAATGCATTACAATTTTTTTGTTAAATAGATAGATTAAATTTTTTTTTAAGAAAATTATTAATTCTTAACAAAATTTGTTTTTTAAATAATTGTCATTCGGTGCTCAGAATCCCAATCAAATTTTAATGGGTGTTAGAGCATTATTTGTCCTCCCGTTTGTGTGACATAAACGTTACCCCTACAGTACGTGTCTACGTGGCGCCTATGAATTAATAACTACTACTAAATTCCACCTACAATTTATTATAATTTATTAAGCTTGTATCTTGACCTTTTTTCATTAATATATTTTATTCGCGCATGCACAATGCAAACCGGTAAACCACGGAATTCAACGCTATCTGACAAAATGTGACGTATAAACATAATATTGTGTTACATTATGTTTATATTATAGTACACGGGGACAGATATAGAATACTTAAAATCATAAATATTTACAATCTAACCTATGGGTGGGAAATAATATCGTACACCTACATATTGCAGGTGTAGTGTGGTATATAATATTATTATTATGTGTATCGTTTCTGTATTTCTGCCAAGGTGCGATCGTCGTTTCGCACGTGGTGGGGTCGTGGCTTCTGTTTTCACGTATAAATAAACTTCTTGAGCAGTCCGCTGGTTATACGCTGTTTACGCCAAAGGGTTGTACACGTGTGTATTGTTCGTTTTTGAACCTCTGCAGTGTTTCCGTTCTAATTCAAAAAACGCGATGAATCACGCGGTAAGTGAACCAATTTATTAGACGTATATTATTCTGGTATTATGTATATTATAATTACTGTTATTGTTATTGTTGTTATTATTGTTATGGTTAATAGTATCTACTTTCTGTCGGGCCGACGTACAGATAGGTAGATGAACAAAAACAGTTTTTTGATTATTGACACAGTGAGGTACTATTAATTTTTCATATTTCGTTTATTATCAAGTAGCAGTTATACTGGTTTCGTTACTAATGAATAATCGCGTGTTAATATTATTTATATTATAATATAATGCAAGTACCTGCTATTGTGATCTGTAGATAACCACATTTTGATGAATTGGGAAATGGTTGATTATATTGATTATTCAAAATATTTTATGCCGTACCAAAGCCAAAAATTTAAAATACAAACATTTCATTCTATAGGATGGTATAGGTAATAGGTATTATTGTATAGTTTCAATGGTAACTTAACTTGATAAACTTAGTTTTATTTAAAAAAACACACACGACTGCACTTACTAGTTACTACATCTAATATTATAAGTATATGAATATAAATGTATGATTGACTTTTTCCAGTAATATATATTTGCCGTGCATTATTATTTCGGTGTTAAAAATAAAATAAGAAAATCGTTATTTTACAAAAACAACAATACATTTTGCTGAAATCCATCAATATAGGAGAACCTTTAGAATTTCGTAGGTCATATGACTTTTAGTTTACAAAATTTTGATGCATATAGTATACGATAAACTCAAATGTTAGCCATCTATTAACAATTAAATTGTTTGCTAATGTTTGCCATATTAACTACCATAGTACTTGCTATATTACGACAATTTAAAATTACAACAAAAATAATATTTTAATGGGAATATAAAGAAAAATTCTGAAAATCATGAGAGTTAACTTCGCCATTTTCAAGTATAAAATAAATCCTATAAACTAAAATAATGTGCTCCTTTATAATAATTGATATATCTGACATCTGTATGTTTATTTATTACACAACATATTTGCTTAATACAATTAATGTATTTAAAATTAAATAATTACATTTTAAAAATTAACGTATTATTAAAATTATTAATTTACTTAATATTCTCTTACAAAGAAATACTGTACTTCACTGAGAAAATGTTGTGTAGGCCCAGGGTAAAATATATTGCATAATATATTATAATAGATATACCTAACAAAAATAATGAATATAAAAATTATATTTGTTTTATCATGTATACTTATTTTTACGCTCCTAGATTAGCACAGGCATTGTTTTGTAGTACAATGTAAATAGTATTATCTATGCATCTTAGAGAACTAAAACCGGTTTTTCGTCAACAGTAGCTAGGTTATTATTAATTTAAAGGTGAACTGTTACTGCTTTATTGTTAAACCAAAACACGTCCATCAAAATATTATTTTAATTTATTACAATTATATGACTAATTAATTGAACATGCAGCATGACCCACCATAATGACTTAATTTCATTATATTTTATTTTGAATTTGTGCACAACATCTTATTAACTAAGTTAATTTATATTTTGTTGATCAAAAATAAGTTATTATTTTAAAGATAAAAAATTATTTAATTATTTTTTTTATTTATCTATAAAATTTGTATATAAACATCAGTATTGTCTATGATCATTGTAATTTGGTTGGGGGGTTACGCTTAGTTGAGAACACGTGTATGTGGCCATCTGGGCCAAGGATTCGACACTAAAAAACCGGGTGGTCACCCATCTGGGAACTACCGGCGCCGGTCGATGCTTGACTCTGAACGCGTTAGTGACCGAGGCCAACCTCTGAGCCACACCAGTCATCCCTTTTTTTCATTTTTATATTGTTACGTTCAGCACATCGCGTTTTAAAAAATTATTCAAAACATATTTATTAGACAATGTATTTGAGTATATACCTACATAATATTTTATATTTTAAACTTACCGTTGAAGATATTGTATAATAATTTATACTATACTCATTCAAATATTTTTCGCTAAGTACTATAATTTTAGTCGGTGGGAAAACGTTATACCGAATATCATATCATATTATATTAGTATTATTAATATTAAGTGCGTACGTGTAAATGAGGAATCTGTTGCGTGTGCCTAAATCCGATGTCCAAACTATACCTAGATATACTACGTGATTCCTTGTCGCAACCATAATATACATAATTCGGGTGTGAAACTTGGTCAGTGTCCAAGAAGCGTTTGCATATTACGATTCGGTCATCAGGAAATCGGTTACACAACGTCAATTTAGATTAGTATTCATCGCTGGAATCGCGCAGACTTTTACTGTGAAAATTCTATACTGTTTCATTTCTCTAAATTGTATTATAGGTACCAAATAATAATATTGTATCGGTCTTGCACACATATAGGTATATAAATCGATATTTTTTCTACAGACACGATTGTACATAATATTATAGAATTGTTCAACACATAATTTTATTATTATATTATCGGACTCTGGACCATATACGACATAAGTATATATTTTAATATGGCGTGACGGTGTGACGGTGTCTATAGACTATAATAGTATTTTGCATAAACAAATGTTATATAACAAGCTCTATGCCTGCGCGGGATTGGAATGTTCGCGTAGGTCAATGCCATTTTATTGAACAATATCGATTTTTATACGAATACTAATATAATAAAATGTATTAATAGTTGAATTTTAAAATAAAACCTGTGAACAAATGATGAATTATGTAATTGAATAAATCTGATTTAAATATATTGACATTTTAGCCGCCTTCCGGAGACATTTTAAAGTGCCTATATTAAAAAAAAACATAACAATATAATATAAAATTACAATTTGTACATAGGTATTATATACCTAACCAATATTGGATTCTTACACATAATGACAGGCGGGAAAAACGTGTTAAAATAAGTATATCATAAATTATATTTTCTTCTAATAAAAATCTACATATTTTGACTATGTACTATGATATACATAGTAATCGTATAAAGGTATATCATAAAGAAGTTTACATAATGTTTGAAATATTACGAAACTACAAAACAAAGAAATACCATATTATATAAATCTCAATTGAAGACAAACGATTAAGGAACCCGGTGCCAATGTGATTTTGTTCATAAAAATGAACTCTACGTGAATAATGATCCTGTCTTGTAGAATCAACCAAATTTGATGAATTTTTACACTTACTAGTTACTAATAAGGGTAATATTTTACAGGCTGCACTCAACATTTTAATCTCAAACTTTACGAGTATAAAACGTTTTTGTATAATACAATTTTAAGTTCTTTTTTCACAAATTATTTTATACCATTGTTTAAAATACAATAAAAATAGAAGTTCAATGCTGTCTGTAAGAAGCAGAATGTCTTTTTCTTTCAGATAAAAATATTGTTATCAAAATACGACAATGCTACAACGCCTTAAATATTTTTTGTGAAGTAATTTTTGTTGATATGATACAACGTATAACAACCCCTTTATTAAAAATGTATCGGACAGTAGATTTGTGAAAAAGATTATAATTATTAGGGTGACGATTAAAATATTTAATTTACAAATTTTATACAAATGCTGAAAATTTTTTATCAATATTATATTATTTTAAGAACATTATTATAAACTATATGTTTGTTATAAAATAAAATAATTTTTTGTTTTGACCTCCTTCCCCAGTGTTCATTAATGTGTAAATCGGACCCTGTCGTAACTTTTGAGTGAGCTCGTCATTAAGTAGTTCTCTGTAACGGATTTTTAGAATTTGAATTTAATTTCATCATTAGGTACGACTTAGACATAAGTACGAAAAATAACGATAGTATTTCTCAGCTATTAATTACAAGGATATTTTGTTATTTATATTGATATTAGTAATTTATTTTTTTGTAAGAAATATGGTAGGTAGACTGAACTAATTGTAGTTAAAAACAAATTGCATCTTATAACATTATAATATTGTTACATATACCTACTATTACTAGCTGTTACTCATTAACTAATTTACTTCAATACTGACGTACCGTAAGATTGTATTAAGAAGTTCATGTTAAATCCATTGTTAATCTAAATATTTTGAAAATATCATTGTATGTAATAAATAAAAAAATAAAAAAGTTGTAAGTTTTCATGATTAATATATTTTAAATGATTATAACAAAATAATTTTCATTTTCATTTAAGTTTTGTTTGGCTATAAAATGTTTTCAAAATTTGAACTCAAGACATAGAATAAAATAAAATTTTATAAAATAAAATCTCTGTATATTATGTATTTTCGATATTTTAAATTTTTTAATGAGGAACCTTAAGTGTGTATTATAACTTATAAGTATTCAAGTATTATTAATTTATAATTTGTAAACTGTATACTTGTGTTATATTTTCGTTTACAAAATAATTTCGATTGATTTAAAATAGATATGGTATTATATAGATGAGTACTTAATTTTTCTTATACATCTTTTGGACTTGATCTTGTTTTTTTCTAATTTTCGTATAGGTATATTAGTTTATTTAAAGAATTCTATTGACGGCGTATCGTATAGGCAATTCAAGTACAACTTTGTAGTACACGTTTAAATGTTTGATACAAGGATTTAACTAATAATAAATTATTATTATTTTTATTATACGATACTCACTGTCGGAATGTTTCAGATTATTGTGTTGTTGGCGGTCTCGGTGACGTTGGCCACTTGCACCACCGTGTCGTCGATCGACAAGTCTCGGGCCAGTGACACTGATCACAAGGCGGACGGCAAGCAGAAACGTGGAGTGTGGGGCTTGGGATACGGTGGTGGTGGTGGTGGATTCTACGACGAGGGCTCGAGCTACGGTACTCTTGGAGGTTACGGGCTTGGCAGCGCCATCGGGGCCGGTTACGGAGGGTACGGTTACGGAGGGCCCAGTTACGGGGGTTATGGTTATGCACCACGCCACTACCCCACGCACGTGCACACCGCCACGACAATTACCAAGAGCGTGCCGGTACCGCAACCATACCCGGTGACCGTCGAGAAACACGTCCCGTACCCGGTGGCCGCGCCGTACCCAGTCGAGGTGCCCAGACCGTACCCGGTGGCCGTGCCCAAGCCGTACCCCGTGTCCGTCGATAGGCCGTACCCCGTGCACGTAGACAGGCCGTACCCGGTGCCCGTGCCACAGCCGTTCGCCGTACCGGTGGTCAAGCACGTCGGCGTCCCAGTGCCACACCCGTACCCAGTTGAGGTCCGCCGGCCGTATCCCGCGCTGCCACTGCCCTACCACAAGCCGCTGTACTCCGATCACGATCTATGGTGAACACAGCCGTCCAGTGACTTGCTAACAATTCGTTGTAAATGTGAGTATAATGCGACGGCTCTAATGGACTGATATAGGGGTAGGGGGACAGGAGGCCATGGCCCATGTCCAAAGCTCACGCCACACTCGCAATGGGGTGACCCGTTTAATATAAAACACTCATATTTTATAAAATACTAAAGTTTTTAAAAATATTTTTGTTACTTAATTTTAAGTTATACCCAACAAAACAACATCTTTGAAAAAAAAAATTTTTTTACAATATTATTTTGTCTGTATCGTTTTTTTTTAAAGTTTTTTATATTTTGGATGACTATATACATTTTTCATTTCATTTCATAAAGCAAAATATTACTCGGAGTATTTTAATCCATGAAAACAAAATTTCAGAGAAGTAGATTATCAATTATAATTATAGAAATATTTAAATTTTGACAACCAGAGTAGTTGATCAGCATTTTGCATGGTAACCCTATGTCACTACACTCTGTGTAGCTTAACTTTAATCACTTATAACCCATATTGTACTTATTAAAAACTCAATTTTTGTGTATCAAAGTATTTCAAAAAATATTTTGCCTAAGAGAGTTAAAAATCACACGTTAGACATGGATTCACATTTTTTCAAAGAAGTATTTAATCAATAATAATGCATTATTATAATAGTACAAATAGGTAATTAAATACATTTAAGTAATGTGAGTAAGCCGTGGATTTGTCCTCGTCTATACCTGGATTTTAACACGATTTATCTAATGATCATTTTATTTTATTATTATTGTCACCGTGGTAACGATCCGTACTTAACTTTAACACACATATCATTATATCAAGTCGCAATATCATATTATTATTATAATTATCCGTAGCATGCAGACTATTCATTCGACACTAAGTGACCTTGAGACTTCTTGACATTTCAAAAATGTTATTACACGACATTGATGAGCACTGCATTTTTCAGTTTTTGTATAATTTTAATGTGATTGATATTGAGATGAACGGCTGTGTAAGAGACTGACGCACGCGGTCGGCCGCTGGTGATAGTCCGCGGTCATAACCTATGGCTACTTTAACCGTGGTGCCGGTTGTAACCGTAATATCTATGCGTTTATATTATAAGCACTTTACCTGAGAGGGAACGTGAACGTATTACTGGGCACAAAATATAATTACGAATTAATTACTCGATATTGAATTTTTACTTTTAATAAGCCGTTTGCAGAGCCAAATAGGTATACCTATATTAAAGTACATCGATAATAATATGTTAAAAATAGATTTGTATACCACCTAATTAATTTTGTTATGGTTTCGTGCGAGTTGAGTAAACGTGCCGAGTGATTTCAATGAATACGATATTACAACAACTTAACCAATACATGCCACGCAATCTTATTTGAGTATAATAATGCGTAATCCGTTTAGCGTAAGACACTCATTATTTCGAAAACTGTAAATGTATTTGTAAATGTTTTTTCCCATAATTTAAAATATTTAAAATTCTATTTTTCTACAAAATATTATTTTACCATTGTTTTATTGCTTATTTTTTCATTTTCTTAATGATAAAATGCGTTTTTAATTCTTTACTCCAAATCCTTTATATCCCAATTTTTTTTTGAATCACCAATATATATTTTTTTTCCAAACAAATTTTGTTTTGTAATGACTTGAAATATTATATAAAAGAAATATTTTCAAAAACGTTGGTGTTTTCTAAAAAAAAGGGTGACTTAGGTTCAATAGATTACCCTGTATAGGTACACACGAGTAAGCGGTAAGACATAATAAAAACAATGAAATATATTTTGCAGCCTACGCCATTTTAACCTACAATACGACAACGATATAACGAGAATTTCGATGTGATATTATTCCAGACGCTTTGGTGTGTCTGAGTCCCGAATAATATAATAATATAAATATTAATATGTGAAATATTAAGCACTGAATTTGTTATTGTATTAAATAGGTATTATTATTATCACGTTTTTCACAATGTAAATAATATATTATGATTCGTAGCCTTCCGTATCGTGAATTCCCAGTACTATTCCTTTTTTAGTATGCTCCGTAAAGTACGACACATAATCTTATTTCAGTGGATTACGAAAACGTAAATGTGTAGCCGATCTACATTGCGATTTCCCAAAAAGTGTTCATAACTTGGCCCTTCGTCAGGGCTTGAAATGAAATAACAATTTTCAATTTTCATATTAGTTTTATTTATTTAAATTTAATAAAAATACTATAATAAATATTATAATCGGATGATTTTTGTATAATTTCACATTATCTATCTAATTGTGTTATGTTTATTATTTTTTTTTCGATTTTAGTTTCAGTTTTGAATAACACTTACATTCTTACGATCTTACATAATATTGACATATCATTAAATTATTTTCAATTTTCATTAGCTAGATTTGAACTAATAAATTAGTAAAATCATTCTATATTGCTTTTAAATTTCAACGAATAACTTATTGGCTGTTGTTGAATTTCAGCTTTTAATTAAATTAAAAATCGATCTGTTTACAAAAATTATAAAACTATTATAAAATAGATTATTATTTTTAAATCGATTGTTGATTTAATTTTTTTTTAAATTTTATATAAACTTTGAATATTATATAATTAAATTATTATTATAATTATTTTTATTTTTATTTAATTTATAATTAATTTTATTTTAATATCATTGACAAACGTTTTCGACCTTAATATTAGGTTCTTTTGATTTTTAGATATTCTTATCGATATTCAAAATCGACTGTAAGTCTGACTAAGTATAAAATACATTTTAAATACAAATAAAAACTTGTGCTAATTGCAAAATGTTTTCTTAACAAATATGATAGCCGCCCAGCTAATACTCTATATGTACTTCGGTATAGTAAATATTCCATATAATAATATACACTTATACACCTACACCTAACTATTCGTCTACAATATTATTTTCGGTCCCAGTATAATCTATATTATGTACACCACCGTACAGCTTGTTTGAAAACATAAACCAGATGCCCGGCTATCGCATAACAATCAATATTTATGTTCTGTTTATATCGTGTCTACTGTCTACGATGATTTGTATTATTTTATTTACTGCGCTATATTTATATTATGTCTTATACTTTTATACGTTTCAGATACGAGTATACACACGTCTTCTACGGAATTGGCGTCTTTGCCATACACAAAATATGCCATTGGACTTAAATACGCATGTGGATTAAGATCATTAACCGCGTACGACTATCGCTCATATTTTATTATTATTATAATATATTATACTGTACACTTTTCCCACACACCGATCGCCTACTGTAACGTCAGACGTCCCATGGACCCCACACATTTTCTTCCTGGGTTTCCGCGTTTTTCTCTTCCATCGACAATACACGTGCGTCGTAAAGTAAACGCGCAGTGTAACTATAATATTATTAAGTAATACAAAAATATGGTTTTATAGTCCAAATTTTTACATTATGCATTGTGATTTATAATACACAAATCTATAATATTATATTATGTTGTTAGTAAGTTATTAGATATTAGTTATATTATACAGTATAAAAACACTGATGCAGTATGTAAATGAAAAACCGAAATCTTATATTTTGTAACGAGCATTATTTCAAAATGTATAACCATACCGATTATTATTATCTTATTTTACTATTATAGTGTGTTATTACTGTTTGGTGGACTTTTTCACATCTGTAATAAAATGTTTTTATTTGTTATGTTAATTTATTATTCACGTGAACTGCGTACATATTTTATTTAAATAAAATACACGTCCACTGCAATGCTAGTTATAATGAATTATTACTTGTTTCTCAAACTCGCAGCCTCTAACTAAAACACTTACACATTCCTTAACAAACTATCAGAACAAAAATAACTCGTTTATGCTTTTGAAGAAATATTTTTATTATTACAGCACCGAGCACTATATAATATTAAACTTTACATAATTTCATCGGTTACCACACACTACACAACTACGCTTTTCTACGAATTTCCACTCAATGCATAACCATGAATGAAAATATTATAATATGTGATTAGTTATATTTTTCCTGAAACGAGTAAAACGGGCAAAAGAAATTAATTATAATATTTTGAAGGACGAAAATACCATTAAAATAACAAAGTTGTGATACTGACAAATGTAAAATGTAAAATTTATAATATGTATAATAGACATAAAATTCGCAGAAAACATTGTTTATGTGGCTTAAAAACGATGAGTTTTATATTATGATTTATGACATATAATTAATTATCTTTCGAATAAGACATTGAAAAATTATGACTAAAACTACAATGTTTAGAATAAAATTTATCGAATATTGAATTTAAAAATGTATCAAATATTATAAAATATGTGGTAAATAAAAGATACAAAAATAAAAAACAATAAAAACTAAAATAAAATGTTAATTTTAATTTTAATTTTAATAATTCAAATTTTTACTTGAATTGAGAGAATGATACTAGAATATTTATAAATATAATATTACACCATGTCCCTCAATTTAAATTAGCTGTACCGCTAGATAAATTAAATTGAAACATAGTTTTCCGTAACTGAGTTATCTACTGTTATTTCAATAAAACCATAATAGCATGTATTACACAAATTACAAATTCTAAAAAACTGAACATATTCAAAAATGCTTTAATGCGAACAGACGTAATATTGTACACACATGTCATACTAATGTTCCTAATTGAACCTAAAACAGTCGCCGATAACAACCGTGCAAACATTCGTATTCGTGTCTGGATAGCTAAGAAATAAGTGTTTGGTAACATATTATGCTATGCACATTTCGAAAACATGTCATCATCGGCATCAAACGACAACGTATAGTAAGTGTACATGATATAATAATACATACAGGATGATTCACCGACCATGCTATCCCTCCATCATTTTCCGTAGCAATTAATTTATTCAAGTATTGATCTTCGGAATATTAAATTATACTCAAAGACCATTAATTCAATTTTTTTTTCGAACCACTCAGGAGTGTCCTGTGCCGATGCCCAATACAACTTCTGTTTTTAAAATGACAACCCTTTACCATTTTTACTGTTAAGAATATATTATAAGGAAAGTATTAAAAAATATATATATTAATAGGGAATACTGAAGTATTCATGTACAAATATAGATAGGTACTTACTTACAAAAAATATTTATAGATATTTTCAAATACCTAGACATATTTTTTTGGAACTTATTTTTTCCCTTAGAATCAATAAAATTATAAACATAGTTTTATGGGATTTTCTTGTGACATATTGATTTTCTTGAGAATTGTGCGCCTCATGGTTTGGTGTAACAATAAATAATTACCTACCTGCCCATTTGTTTTCCTTATTTGAAAGTTCGGCGAAGTGTAACCTATACTGTATATTATGTAGCCCACAAAAAAATATACTGAACGTGATGAAAAGGATTGAAGATGTTTATCTCCATAGTTGGTACATGTAATATAAACATAATTTCAATTTTATTTTAAAATCAGCAAGCGTTAGTAGGTTAATAGTTTTAGAACACTTCTATACCTAGTTATATATCGTTGTTTTGAACCAAATGTATGGTTTGTGCTTCTGAAAATGATTTTCTGTAAATTTTAAACAATGTTTATAAATTAAAACAAAGCTTCAAACACATTTTAATTATTTTATATAAATTAAATATATTGCAAAGAATTACGCAAATATAAGTTTTCCATTATTATTTGTAGGTGTAAAATTTAAAATAGTTAAATTATAAAAAATAAAATAATAAGCAATTGAACATAATTAGTACCTACTTGATTTTAAATACAAATAAGTACTATCAGCTGATGCCTACCACGAGAAAGTATTAAAATATGTATTTGAGTACCTTCTTGAAAATTATTTGAACAATTTTACTAAATACTATTACTTTAGTACTTAACGTCAACGTCTATTGGTAATTAACTAACTAAACAAACTAACTTTGTAATTATCTTTTTAAAGGGTTATTTTTAAATGTGGAAATAGTTGGCCCCAATTACAAATACAAAAGTATTTTTTTTTCACATTGTGTTAAGTAGAATTTTATTAGTTTCCTAATTATATAGCTTTTTCAGCTACCGGCTATCGTATTAACTGTGTAATCACATGTTCGTATATCGGCTTCAAAGGGTTTTAATAACGCTTGAATGGTATAGGTACCTCAATATCTAACTCATTTATTGAAAAAAAAAAACTCAAATATGAATATTTTTAGCAATATTCAATGATGAATTTTAACTTAACCATCACAAGTATAGATGCGTTTTCATTTTTAAAATCAGCCTTGGTTAACAATGTGTGTTGCTTATGATCTAACAGCGAGAAAATCGTGATTCAACTGGTCAACTAAAGACATTTCGACTCCTAAAGGTTAGGTTAGGTTAGGTTAGGTGATCATAGAAACACAATTGCCTCTATTAAACCAGTCAATAATAAGCGAGAACTATTATTTTGAATGCTCGGGTTTTCCATTTTTAAATCGTTCTATTGAATCTATAATACATATTATTATTATTATTATTATTATTATTATTATAGTTATACATCGTGCTGGAACTTCACAAGTAAAAGTAAACCATAGTAAAATAGTTGTGGTCGGTAATCTACGGTGACGAGAAATGTATAATAATATTTTTTTCTATGGAAAAACGAATGAGAGAATTCGTCGTATAGTTGTTGTATGTGTAAACAATAATAAATCATGAATATTATTGTGCAATATTGGAATGAATAGTCTGCTGCAATACGAAATCGTAGTTGTATACATATTATTATAAAAAGAAATAATAATAGTAAAAGGAGTTGAAAATACGTCTTCAAATATGACATCACACAAGGGCAAGGTCAATTTCGAAAAGTAAATACATATAGACATCAAATGATAACATTATTCATAATTATTCATTACCTAATTAATATCATTGCAGTAAAACAAAACAACTGATCAAACTACAAAATCAATAATAATACATGACTCTGAGTGTGAACTATTTATGATGTAATAGCTATAGATTACAACTACTTTAAAATAACTATATTATAAACTATACAGAGTACTGAGTAGGTACTTACTACTTAGTTTTATGTATAAAAAATATGTGATAACTTGATAACGGTGTCTACATATATATTTTTTAAGCTGTGACGATTAATTTCATAATAATAAAAACTGTTCTGTATACAGAGTGATTTTTTTATGACGTCACCTCATTATATAGAAAAGTACTAATATTTTTGAAAAACTGTATTTTTACTCAATTTAAACTTAAAAAAAAAAATTACTAGTTTTTAATATATTTTTTACATTTAATTTTTTTTAAACGTTTCAACATTTTGATATATGACTATACGTTTACCCAACGGCAGGTCAATAGAATATTTTTATTGAGAATTTAAAAATGGAATAATTATAGTTAATTAGTTGTATTAAGCTGTCTCTAAAGAAACAGATTTTTAATTATATAAATATTTTGTCTTCATATTTAATAATAATTGGCTTAAAAATTGAGTGATATTCGATAATATTATTATGCTCGTATAAGTTGAGTGTGAACAATTGTATTTTTCTTTATTTATAATATAAATAGTCATAAACGTTTATGTATTTGTATTATGAGTATTCACTCTATGACTATCTTTATTGTTAAGGGATTTTTATATTATACGTTTCATATTATTTTGAAATATGTAATTTGTATTCTACTCATTTAAAACATTGTATTATTTTTTAGGTTTTCTAATTTGTAGTTTTGTTTTGAGTGAAACTATTATTACTGTATTTCATATTTTCAAAGAGGTAACAAAACAATTATTGATTTAAAAACATTAGTGTAATTTGATTAAATATATTTGAAATCGTTAAAAACCTATTGGGCAATGGGCTTATCATAGTGACGATATTGTTGTAAATAATTACAAATATTTGTATCAATATTTTCAATAAATTTTCGTTCACACGGTATTTTCATATTATATTTTACCGTTCCTGAAACGAAGCCAAAAAGGGTCATAACACTCATAACCCTATACCACAGTTAATATCTGTGAAAAATAGTTAACATTTTTGCTCCTAGAATACTGATGCTTCAAAACATAATGTCTTAAATCTAAATTATAGTTTTAAACTAATTATAATTCTATTTGTTTATTATTTATTTTAGATTCTGAGTGGAGTGAATGCCAATGACGTGGAATATTTGTTGTGTGTTCCACGTCACGTTTTGGAGATAATTTGCTTATATGTATATTGAACATTGATGGTAATTTATGGAAGAATATTATTTGATTTAGTCTGTACATTTTGGTTAGGTTATGGTTAAAATTGGAAAATTCACAATACTTTTATTAATAATCGGTAAAACTATTAAAAACATGGAAAATGGTAATAATTATGCGACTGTATTAGTCGAATAAATCTATTTTGATTTTAGTTATAACTCAAAACGGAATATTCGTAAAGACTTATGTTTTCACCAAAACCTTTTTTCTTTTTATTTGTTTCTAGTGTAACTATTGTAGTTCAATAATTTTTCAATATATATAGGCATATGAGATGCATATATAATGTATTACAAAATAATAATAGGGAACACAATATTTACCGAAATCTAAAATTAGCATATTTTAAACGTGATACATTTACTAACTAACTAACTAACTGTTTATAATATACAATTGAAACTTTTCACTTTGTTTTCTATTTATATTGACAGAATTGTTAGGGTCTCAGCCAAAAAGCTTGACATCATTTG